ATGAGCATCGATCCACGCAATTGGGATCGATGACATACATCATCCAAGACAGCGAGCCAGACCACCCGATCCCGTTAGTCGCCTTTTACGACAAGCATAGTCACCTTTTACGGCAAGCATGGGTTGCTGAAGACCTATTCTACCCCGGTAATCTTCACGGGTCTACTCTATTGTGTACTGCTATTGCTAGTTTGGACGTCGATAGGAAACAGTGTCAAGGTGAACACCTCTCACGGCAAGCATGGGTTGCTGAAGACCAATTCACTACCCGGTTACGTTGTCCTTCCATTTATCACGTGCCACATGGTATAGTCTTCCAGCGTGATAACGCTATACCCCATACAACAAGGCTGACATGGGACTTCCTCTACAACACGTTAACGTTTTGCCGTGGCCTGCATGTACAACTGACATGAACCCCTTCGGACATTTGTGGGACAGGCAAGTCAGGCAAGTCAGAAAGCCACCAGTTCCGCCAGTCAGTCAGCCCACAGGACCTGGAGCGATGTCTCATCGATACATGGCAACGGATTCCCGTCGACGTCATCGGGCGTTTGTCGGTTCGGCGACGTGTTGAGGCCTGCATTGATTCGTGAAGTTGACATACTCAATACTCAACACCCGGTGATTTATGACTTTGCAGTGACTTACAATCTGTTGCTACACATGTGTTTTAACAATGACAATGACCATATTTTAACTCCCAGTATCCTTGTGTCAATGTTACTCGTAACGATTCTGCTTTTATGGATTGACAATTTATTCACTTAAGGATTAACTGTGTATTTTTTTCGGTTCATTGAGGAATGAATCGAAAAACCGATGTGCAAACTGTATGAATCCGCACATCGGTTTTTCGATTCATACCTCATAGAACCGAAAAAAATATACAGTCAATGCTTATAATTAAATTCGACAACGTAAAACATGTTTTATCTACAATAGTTTAACCCAAAACAGTTGCATATATCAAAACAGACAAAAATGACGACATTGATAAACATTCCAGGTGTAGGAATACATACAGTGGCGTGACATGAATCAGGTGATCGTTTAATTTATACACATAACTTGACACGCCTACACAGTCAGTAGCCAATCAACGGAGAGTGGGATTAAAACACTGTTCATTGGACAAGGCAAGAGGCGAAAAGAACTGCAACAGTCAGACTGTAACGAACCGGAAGAAATATGTCCGAGAGAAGGCGGCTGTTTAAAAAAACATGGTCATTTACTAAGTGATTCAAACATTACTTCCCTGATTACGGTAAAACACAGTTGGAGAAATGCTAGTTAGAAATGAAACCCGAAGACATGAAAGTTGAACCGAGGCGAGCGCGAAAAAAACAGGCGAGCGAGCCTGCACGTTTGCTGTTTCATTCATTCTCGGACTTCGGTTTCAAAGGGTTGTATGGACAATGAATATGCATGAAAGTCGCTTAATGTCCTGTGCATGACGATACACGTGAGCAGAAAGGGAATTCCCTCGACTGTAATATTGGGATTCCCCGACATTCCGCAGTAATAAAAGTAGTGCGCCGCGGTGGGCGTGGCTTAATTCTTTACATTCATTGGGAAATAAATGCAATAACACGTGACCATTTCAGCTAATCAGAATGCAGGAATTTCCATGAACACAACGAAAATTTAATTATATGATGCTAAAACACCACTCTCATTAAATATATATATTTTTAACTCCCTACATGGTTTCGCTTTGCTTCAATCGTCTCTCAAAATCCTGGGTACCTTTTGGGACTCCAGTTTATAAGCACTGTTTGTACTATATCCTGTATAACAAGATATACACCATTGTTGTATAATTTCATAACTAGTACATTATACTATTTCTTACTGCATTATCCTTTATTCCTATGAGATTACGAGTATCCTAACTGAGTTCGAATCCGATTCGCCCTGATTAGGACCCTTGGTTATTCATTCACCCGTGATGAAAGCACACAAAAGAAATGCTACGACTGTCACAGGAGCAGAGAGAACTGTCACAGGAGCAGAGAGAGAGAGAGAAAGAGAGAGAGAGAGAGAGAGAGAGAGAGAGATGTCGGTATGGCCGAAATGAGGGCAACACAGGTCCAAATTGCCAGAAGGTTTGGTTGTACACCATTGACAGTAGTCAGTCTGATTCAACGGTACAGGCAGACAGGGAGGACACCGGACAGGCCTAGAACCGGACGACCCAGAGTGACAACAACACTGGAAGACGGTCAGACACGACTCATTCACCTGCGAAACATATTCGTGACGGCGACGGCGACGGCGACAGCAGCAACCGCGTTGGGACATCACATTAGCCAACGTACAGTACTACGACGACTTCGTGCTGCTGGAATCCGAGCGTATCGTCCTTTCCGAGGAATGGTACTGACTGCTTAACATCGACGCCTGAGACTGCGATTGGCGAGGCAGGTTCGACGCTGGCAAGTGAGAAATTTGCGTCGAGTGCTGTTTACTGATGAAAGTCGGTTTAACTTGTTTCGAAATGACGGCAGAGACGGCATGGTGGGGGCGGCATTTGCGGAGATCAGAAGACTGATTTGGTGATTATACAGGGAAACCTGAACGCTGTGCAGTACAGAGACCAAGTGTTGCAGCCAGTTGTGCTTCCGTTCTTACAAAACCAACAGGAGGGGACATTGTTTCAACACGACAATGCCAGGCCCCATACTGCAAGACTGACTCGGAACTTTCTAAACCAGCAGAACGTTGACGTTTTGCCCTGGCCTGCCCACTCACCCGATATGAATCCTATTGAACATCTGTGGGACCATCTTGACAGACAGATTAGAGCACGTCATCAACCTCCCGTCAACAGACAAGAATTGCAGCAGGCCCTGAGAGACGAGTGGCAACGGATTCCAGTCCACGTCATCAGAAGACTGACGTCATAGATAAGGCGGCGTATCACAGCATGCATTGAGGCAGCTGGACGTCATACACGCTATTGAAGGCAACGGTGTCGACAATGAACATGTAGTGTGTCTGACAATGTTTTGGTGACATTTCAGATAACTTTTGAAAATGAAATTTCTTACCCCACCATTGTTTACCTTGAGCTTACATTACCTGTGATTGCACAATTTCATTCAAACTGTGGTTGATCAATCAATCACTTGTTACCCCTCCCTAGATTATATTATAATTCACAACAAAACCTCTTCTTGTTATTTTTTTATTGATCATGGAACTCGACCTATACTTTCTTTTGCCGCCCAGTTTAGGTTTACAAATCAATTCAAATTACTGCACAGCAATTACAATGGCAGTACACAATAGGGCGGTAGTACATTATTCAATGGCAATAAATATGAAGGCAGTGGTCAGTATCAAATACCAAAATACAGTGGTGATAGCAAAAGTCAGTGATAATAATATATATTCAACCAGTGGCGACAGTGGTCAAGCTCCCAAGATGGGTTAGGCCGGGAATCAGGGATGCTTAGCGATCCTCATATGAAAGCTGGTTCCGAAGCGATGAAATGCTTGAGAGATTCGTAAACATGCTAGTGACGCCTCATACACAACCGACCCAGCCATTGGAAAGTTCCACACAGTGCCCTCACCAGTCCATCGGCAGTAGAACATTAAAGAAGTTTCCATAGTTTCCTATCACCGTCCGCAGTATACCAGACCGGAAGTTTACACACTACACTAGCATCTAAATATAGTAAATTCCTGACGACTCATCGCTGTCCGAACACAATGCAATGAGGGTCTACCGAATCTCAACAGAAATAACGCAACACAGTCACAATGATTGTTAAACAATGAAATACACTGCCATATGACAAGGTGTTGTGGAAACTGTAACGCATGACACTTACATCTGTCTCTCCCTCTCTCCATCCATCCATCCCCCCCAAACCTGCGTCAGGTCATTAACATCCACATGGCAAAGAAAGCACGAGACAAACAATAGCCATGATGTCACCAATATACCACTAAAGTTTATTCTTGAGGGGGCCACGGGTAGCCCAGTCGTCTAAGGCGCCGCGATTCGCTGTGTATTGTTGCGTCTCTTTTAGCAATATTCCAGCAATATCACGGCGGGGGACACCAGAAATGGGCTTCACACATTGTACCAATGTGGGGAATCGAACCCGGGTCTTCGGCGTGACGAGCCAACGCTTTAACCACTAGGGTACCCGACCGCCCCTTAATCGGGAGATTTTTTATTAAAGTTGAGGGCAGGGCGGTCCGGAATCTAAAGCGACTACCTTCGCTGTGCAGTTGAGTCGTACCAGAATCAAGTTATCGTTGGGTGACTCACTTACTTGGTTGATGCATGTCATTGCGTCCCAGTTGCGTAGATTGGTGCTCATGATCTCAGTCACTGGATTGTCTGGTCCAGACTCGATTATTTACAGACGGCTGTCATATAGTTGGAATATTGCTGAGTGCGGCGTTAAACAACAAACACACTGAGAACAACTTTTTTTGCTTTATGCTGATTGGCTTGTTCGTTCTTCCTTGATATTGATTCTGATTGGTTAAAAACAAGTTTCCTTTTCTACGGAAACACCTTTATATATACATAGTTCTTTTCACATAAGAAACGTGCGTATGAATACATCGATAGCCTACATATCGATTCATAAAAATGACTGCCGATCGATCACCCATACTGTTTAACGTATCGATATTTCCACTATTACACGCTGGGTTCTAATACAAGCCAGGTCTCCATTAAACGCCGAGTCAACGGCTCTCGCGAAATTAATAGATGGTCTGTCTTCTAATAGAGGAAGTACGGTAGTTTGATAAGGATGTTTGTGGCCACGACATGAAGTTCTAGGCCGTAACTCTGACTGCCTCGATGATGAGATTACACTACTGAACGAAGGCATATCTTTTGCATACAAATGATAATGTCTATGAAACTGTTTGGGACATGTTTGATGGCAACAGACTCGGAACAGGCAATTTCCTAATTGAAACAGCCGACAAGGAATGTTAAAAATAACATTATAAAACGTGTTTGAAAAAACTTTATTCATGACAACATGTTTACAAACCATTATCCATCAGAAAACAGTCCTCCCTTCGAAAGGCCACGAGAACAACGTCCCGACATCACTGAAGTTACAGCACAAGAACCTGATCATAACAACTTATCAAAGACATTCAGTTCAGAACACGCACAATTAAGCAAACGACTGTTTCTTGGCCACAGCTGTCACATCACTTTTACACACTGGCGTCTAATCCATGAAATCTGAAATTGACAGGTCAAATCAGGTTCTGGTGTGTCAAAATAGCCGGCACTTCAGCCTTAAAAAAGGAATTTGATTGGCTGATTGTGAACCCTGACCTTTACCAGACAAGATTCGCTACAGTCATTCGATCATATTTCGATCACATAGACAAGGTTTTATTTATCCTTGAATGGAACCAAGCAAAGGATGATAAAATAAAGTAAGTTTAATTTGCAATTTTATTACCAAATGATGAAGCACTTCAACAGAAAGAAAACAATATCTAATTTTAATTATTCATATGCAACCGATAGGCTATTCGGGGAGTGAACGTGTGTCAGTTCAAAGGGTGCAGGACGATTGACGAATTTGGGATGAGGCTACACAGTGGGAGTGTTTTCCTGCAACTAATATAAATTACCACAAATCACACATGACTGTTTTTGATACTATCGTATGGCGTTCGCTGCTGATTCCCGCACCCGCCGATCTCGTGTGCACGATTTTTAATGAATATTAATGAACACGGAATGTGAGACCCACGCTACCTTTACGATGTAAATTACATCGCATAATCCTTGATACATTGCTGTTTTCAGCTTCCAGACGGCAAGGTCGGCAGTGTCAGAAATTTTAAGCGTGATTTCAACTTGGCTAAATAAGACGAATAGACGAGCCTAGGTATCCGATGAAACATCCGCTAAACAGTTAGTGAAACATTCCCGATAGTGCAAATGTGAACAGACAGGTTTTTTATACTTGAAAAACTGTTTTTCATCAGACGTGACCTCTAAATGGAAGGTTAGAAGCCAAACTGGAACTCGCTGTCTGCTACATTTGCACAGTTGTCTGATCTACTACGTACTTGTACTTAGACAGTGTACCAGCTCATAGGGCGAAATTTACAACTAAGGGATTCCGATCAATTTACCTTTCTAAATGAGCTAAAGCCTTTATTTCGACTATGAAAAGACCTCACTATACTGATAAACCACGGATTTCAATTTGACCACATATCATTATGTCGTTTACTGTACTGGAGAAAACTGGAACTGAAATCTCCCGCTGTGGTTTGGTCATCAAAGGTGTAACCTTGACCTTTGTCTCAGTTGCCATATATACTGTACTGAAACTGTTTCCTCATCAAATTAATATGCGGTTAATATTAAAACAGGATTGAACTCACTTTAATACAATTTCAGACTGAAAATTTATTCACTCGGGATGAATATGAAGTGAGTGTGATATCTAATAGATATGTATCCTCGCACAGTGAGTAACAAACAAACAAAGCCATTATTTACTTATATACACGAAACGAAAATGGATCAAACATTGAAATTACAAAATTAGAATAACGTCTCTTTCTCAGATCCGTCGTAACGTTTCTAGGCGCATCGATACGACTCGTAATATGCTCACAGTTTATCGCAATACGACTTAACTGTCAACACCTTTACCTACAACTAGCATATAAAACCAATAGCATTGTGACCTATACTTTTTGTATATAATATCTGTTATAATGCCTTTTGTAGACACGAGCTTCCACATGTCAGTTTTAATTCATGCTTCCTCCTTCCAAAGATATTTAGTTTCCCGCAATATCTCGGCCAGCTGTTTGTTGAACTTAGAGTAGAACCGATCCAGTAGAACTCTGGTATCCGTTCTCATTGGTCCGGCTATTTTTTTCCTCTCGGTCACGTGCTTCCGCTCATGCTCGGCTATTTCCGTAATGGCATCGTCGGAGAGTGTGGCTATAACACAACATTGGGGATATCCTTCAGTGAAATCGTCTTTGGAAAAACACGCACAATTACTGTAAAACCTCGTTAAACCGGATATATCGAAGCAATACTGGGCCTCAAGGCCAGGACTTCGTGTTCACAGGTACCACTGTACTTCTATGTTGGATGATGATAGAGACGAATTGTAATTAATCCCATGATAAGAGATGTCTAAAAATACTATAATTGAAGAACTGTAAGCAAGTATAGCAATTGTTGAGTATACGTTGTCTAGCGCCAACTGATTTGTTTGTTGTTTAACGCTGCACTTAGCAATATTGTTGAAGCTGACCTTTGACTGATATGAAATAGCTGACCATGTTTATTGTTTGTTCAAACTCATGGTATGCTGGACAAAGACTTCTGGAAAATTTACTGATTAAATCATTCTTTGAGTTTATCGATACTATCTAAAGTGTAGCGTGAAATCGATGCTATCGAAAGTGTAGCGGGACATCGATACTACCGACATCCGGCCATACAATTGCAAGCCGACAGGTCCTTTTTTCACCTTCATGCCGAGCCGCAGGCAGGGTAACAACAAGTACCATGTCTTAAACGCATCTTTTCGTGTGACGTGGTCTAAGACCGAAACACCGACCTTCCGCTCTCCCGGCAGAAGCTCTGTCCACAAGCCCACGGAGGCGTTCAATTACGATGTTTCAATCGACGATCAATCGTTTCAGCCATACCAATACGAATTTAGGCTTGTTTGTAACCGGGACCACAGAGTCATCAGTGTCAGACCAGGGACCCGTTCCACAAAGCGATCTTAGCGCTACGACTGTCGTAAGTTAGTGTAAAAGAATGGGAGTTACGACCGACTTAGCGCTAAGATCGCTTTGTTGAACGGGGTCCTGGATGTACACTCAGCTGTTAAAGTGAAGCCCCGCTAATTCGGACGGCACTGTTCCCTTTGAAATCATCTTGATTTTATTATTTTCCGGATTAACGAATGTTACGTCCGGATAAATGCGGGCCCGATTTAACGAGGTTTTACTGTAGTGGCAAATTTATTAAGAGCGGCGTTGTCAAAGCTTCTCTCAATTTCTGACTCAATTCAAAAGAGGCTTCAGCCGAACACATACTTACTGACGTTGAGGAAGTTAAACACTTTGTATAAGTGCTCTTTGATGTTCATTTTGTAATCTTCCGTACGCAGGATGAGAAAGCTTTGTCTGTGAAAAACGGACAGCCATTCTTTCAAGAAAACAGCATAACACCCAACATGAAGCCGCGTCTAGAACAGAAATTGAAAAAAATACTTTCTTCACTATTGTAAGTCACTGCGGTAAAAGATATTTTTGAGGATAATGGCGTTTGATAAATACCATTGCATTTCATCGAGTGATAAAAACTGTCTGGAAAAAGAAATTATCCACCCACGTTTGATGGTGGCTAAACATGAAACAAACAAGAAATGGTAAATCTGGTGGTGATGTTATTGTACGGGTTTCGGCGACTGTTTTCAGCCAAGTAACGTTTCCCTAATTTTTTGCTCAGATACCATTTTAAAGTTAGCATAGACTTTCGGTTGCTTGGTTAGTTACTTAGATGTGATTACGGGGAGGTCGGGTAGCCAAGTGGTTATGGCGTTCGCTCGTCACGCCGAAGACGTTTGATTTCCCACATGGGTACAATGTGTGAAGCCCATTTCTGGTGTCCCCCGTCCTGATATTGCTGGAATATTGCTAAAAGCGGCGCAAAACCATACTCACTCACTCACTCACTCACTCACTCACTCACTCACTCACTCACTTACTAGAAGTGATTTCGCCCCCTTCCATGTTTTATGAAAAAAGAGTTATTATTCAGTGGGTGAATCCCGCTTCACGCCGCAATATTCCAGCAGTATCACGACCGAGGCCGCGAGAAATGACGAGAGAAAGAGGCTAATTCACGTCTGTTTTGTTTGTTCAATAGATGGCCGGAAAAAAGTGATGCAGTTCTTATAGAGAGCTGACGTCATCAGCTGATTCAGTCAATCAGATGCTTGACATCATGGTTCAATGTTAATGTGCTTAACCAGAAGGGTTGTGCGTGTTTCATCTAAACACATTTAAAATCTAAACACACGAAATGAGCTACGATATCACCACATACATAACATATAAGCATGTCACAAATCTAAATATGGACCTACTGGTAGCGCCAGGTTTAACTGCCGGTCAAACAGACACCATCGGACTGTTCTGTTCCTAAAGCACGTCTCGAGCAGTTCCAGCGCTTCAGTGCTGTGCTTGTGGAATGTGTCTGGCGTCAGACCGTCGCCCATGAAGATGTAATCAGAATATAACCTGAAACAAAGCCCCATAGATAGTATCAGTTCAATAAGTCACAACGTGGATGCTGGGGTACTGGTTGCAGGTTATAACAGACGCCGGTATAGAAGACCCAACTCAATACCCGGCCCAAGTCACTCTAGCATGACTTGGGACTAGGCTGAGATCACTCTGGAGTGATTTGGGACTAGGCTGAGATCACCCTAGAATGATTTGGGACTAGGCTGAGATCACGCTGGTGTGATGTGGGCCTTGGCTGAGATCACGCTGGTGTGATGTGGGTCTGGGATGAGATCACTCTGGAGTGATGTGGGCCTTGGATGAGATCACTCTGGAGTGAGGTGGGCCTTGGATGAGATCACTCTGGAGTGATGTGGGCCTTGGCTGAGATCATTCTGGAGTGATGTTGGCCTTGGCTGAGATCACTCTGGAGTGATTTGGGTCTGGGATGAGATCAGTCTGGAGTGATGTGGGCCTTGGATGAGATCACTCTGGAGTGATGTGGGCCTTGGATGAGATCACCCTAGAATGATGTGGGCCTTGGATGAGATCAGTCTGGGGTGATTTGGGCCTAGGCTGAGATCACGCTGGTGTGATTTGGGTCTGGGATGAGATCAGTCTGGAGTGATGTGGGCCTTGGCTGGGATCACGCTGGTGTGATGTGGGCCTTGGCTGAGGTCAGTCTGGAGTGATGTGGGCCTTGGATGAGATCAGTCTGGAGTGATGTGGGCCTTGGCTGAGATCACTCTGGAGTGATGTGGGCCTTGGCTGAGATCACTCTGGGGTGATGTGGGCCTTGGAAGAGATCGCTCTGGAGTGATGTGGGCCTTGGCTGAGATCAGTCTGGAGTGATGTGGGCCTTGGCTGAGATCACGCTGGTGTGATGTGGGCCTTGGCTGAGATCACGCTGGTGTGATGTGGGCCTTGGCTGAGATCAGTCTGGAGTGATGTGGGCCTTGGATGAGATCACTCTGGAGTGATGTGGGCCTTGGATGAGATCACTCTGGAGTGATGTGGGCCTTGGATGAGATCACTCTGGAGTGATGTGGGCCTTGGATGAGATCACTCTGGAGTGATGTGGGCCTTGGATGAGATCACTCTGGAGTGATGTGGGCCTTGGCTGAGATCACTCTGGAGTGATGTGGGCCTTGGCTGAGATCACGCTGGTGTGATGTTGGCCTTGGCTGAGATCACTCTGGAGTGATTTGGGTCTGGGATGAGATCACTCTGGAGTGATGTGAGCCTAGGCTGAGATCACCTTAGAATGATTTGGGCCTAGGCTGAGATCACGCTAGAGTGTTTTGGGCCTTGGCTGAGATCAGTCTGGAGTGATTTGGGCCTAGGCTCAGAGCACTCCGCCCTCGTAGGCCCAAACGACTCCCCGGGTACTATTTCAAATGTCCATGTTTTATTGTATTTTCTCGTATGTTAGTGTTGCTGGATGTGCGTGTTGAATGACAAATGTGCCCCCTCGTCGCTATCGCAGACTTATGCGTCCTGAAACGCCCTGTAAACGTGGTAATAAATTCGAGAATCTGTATCAATACATACTTTTTTTTGTCTACTATTACAAATTTACGCAAAAAATAGTTTTACACTAGAACTATCTCAAATCGGACTAATGAAACCTATTTGAAAGTGATTCATAGACACATGCTTTTGATATAGTCGCACCTGGACAATAGATTCTACATTTCGCAGAGATTTCTTATGTTTATGGAAAAAGTATCTGTCGTTTATATTTCAGAAATTGTGAAAAACCTATTGAACCATTTTTGTTTTTGTGTGTTTCGTCAATGATTATAGATTATTTTATTTATATTTACTTCTACATGGATATGATGTATGGTATCTTGCCGCGTGTGTATATTTTGGGTTCATAGTAGTCCGTAAAGGTGCATGTACCCTTCAAAAAAACACAGGTACGATTTAAAAAATAAATAATCTTACATGTAATGAGTATAATTTGAATCCCAAATGTCTACACCGTGCGCGGACACCGTTCCAGACAGCAATAGTCTCTGTTAATGCGTGCTCCATGTATATTCATGTTACACAGAGGATATTGACCACAAGGCACCAGCTTGCAGAAAAGCATTCTAGGAGCTCGCGCTTTCGGCATAATTTTGAAACCACATCAGAGACAAAGACTTCCTCTTTTTGCGAAAACACCTGGTGTGATCCATTCAAATAATTCTTTACCGCTATTTTGCTTTTTACCAAATGAATCTGTTTTCGTTCTCTAGCATTGACGTTCCTGGTGTGATCCATTCAAATAATTCTTTACCGCTATTTTGCATTTTACCGCCAAATGAATCTGTTTTCGTTTTCTAGCATTGACGGGTTTTTTTACTTCTATAATAATTGTTATTTACAACATGAGTATTGGTTGATAACAACACCTGGTGTTAAACAATACCAAATATTGTTTTGATATGACTGTAACGCCTGGGTTTTGTTTTATAGGCTTTGATATTGATATTGACACTAATGGCTACATCTGAAAATTTTATATTTCATATTATTTTTTAATCTTGTAAACAGACACATATCGACAATCAATCAACAGAACATATGTGACAAGGGGGTCAGTAAAACTGAAACTGCAATTCGGTAAACACCCTCTCGTTCCTGGTATTATGAAGTCCTAACCAGACATAACAAGGAGCAGGTAGAAGAAACCAAACTAATATATATATTTTATAATTCTATATTCATTTAGATAGCTTGGCTACTGAGACTTGGTGTAGTTGTCTGTTTGTTGTTTAACGTCCTCTCAGCAATATTCCAGCTATATGACCGCTGTACGTAAATAATTGAGACACAATAAAGAATTATTATTGTTAATGTTTGTTGTTTAAACTCAGTCATATTCCAGGTGTAAGACGACGGCCTGTTAATAATCGAGTATGGACTAGACAATCCATTGATTGATATCACGAACATCGGTCCACGCAATTGGGATACGATGACATGCATCAACCAAGTCACCGAGCCTGACCACCCGATCCCTTTAGTCGCCTTTTACGACAAGCATAGTCACCTTTTACGGCAAGCATGGGTTGCTGAAGATCTATTCTACCCCGGAATCTTCACGGGTCTGCGATCGTTAAAAGCTCTGTAGTTGTAAGCAGTGAAGATAGTCTCAGTCACAACCTATATTGTTGTTTTGTTAGTTTTATTTTTTTTATTACTTTTTTTTTTCATTATTTTTTATTTCATGTTTATACGATTAGGCGCCATTTGACACACCTAAATATAGGCAACACAACACTTTCCGTGTCCATAAGAAATCTCTGCTAAAAGCAGAGTATTATTGCATTTAAAACATGCTCACAATTTGTGTATATACAATACATGTACATTATAGGATCACGTATGATGAACGCTGGCGAATGGAGCATACGTGATCAGGTATTTATTAGTTTTGAAATACAATATTTCAGCGTATATTTCTTTTGCTCAGTTGCGTCTGTGTGTCACGGAAGTAACAGTACGGGATCATTGAGCGTACAACTGAACTTTCTGTACCGGGAGACTAAAGATCGATAAACTGACGTGACAAACAACAGGCAGCTCAGTATAATCATACATTTATATTTGTGCTGATGCAAAGTACAGTCCTCGTGTTTGTGTTCCGTTATCTTCCGCAGTACGTTTTACATAGTATTAAACCATGGCTACTTTGTCTTTGATCGTGGTCTAACTAACTAACACCACTTGGCAATGATGGAACTTCTTTTTTCCCCTGTCATCTATCTTGATGATAGAACAATTTCATGAAACATGTTGTCGCCAGCGGGATTCGAACCCGCGAATTCCGCACTGAAGGCTAACGAATTGTGTCTTCTGCCACGTCGACAAAGGAGAAATGGTATGAAATTAACAACTAAATATTTACTTACATCAGGAATAATTGCTTTTCCGTTCATGAACCTGTACTTCAATTTCAGAGACTGACCTGTATTGTACACCAATGTAGATTTATAAAGCTATCTACAAGAATTGCACATTGCCGGTCAAAAATGGTCTGAGTAATGATAGACAAAAATGCATAGAAATAGCCTCGTGTTTTTATTCTAATATAAGTTGTATGAATGAAGGGTGGGTGATCGAAGCGTTAGTAAAGTGTCGAGGGCTGGCGTTGCCAGATTTTACCGTCAGCAGATGGCAGCGAGCGATTTATAATAATCCTGCTTTGTTTAAACGTTATACATGGCAGGCTTGATCTTTCGGGAAGTTTCGGGAAGTTTCTAGAAGGATGGTGGTACCTATAAAAGATCGAGAAGAAGGCAATTCGATTCCTTTATCGACCTGACTTGTGTTTTATCTGCTTGCCAAGGGCCGATTGGATTCCTATCGGAAAATTCCTACCAGCTTGCAACTCTTTTCCTGATTCAAGACCAGAGACAGTAACACTAACTTTAAATCCTGTACATTCGTGAGCGCAATAGCACATAACATAGGGCCAGTTACCCTTTACCGCTGCCACTTATGTCAGCCCTAAAACTGTGTGTTTCAAAATAATCTATGGATTATACATTGATCTTGCGTGGTCGTTTCCTGTTTTCTTCATTTCAATTTAGATCAGTACATGTCGTTTTCCGGGATACTTTAATCATATCCTCCGACTGACAATTACTAAATATGTATTAAACTAAAACTACTTAACAAACCATATATAGTACTTAAAAATATGACACTATCGTCAGCAAAGAGTAACATGATCATATAAATATCTGAACAGTTTAGACATCACAGTTACGTTTAGTAGCAGTGATACGGTAATTTCTGTGATGTGCCAAATATTTCTAAAACGTAAAAAATTACTCTAAAACACCTCGACGATTGGTTTTGCTTGGCGCGGATTTTGGTCCCCAGCGAGTAGGACACAATGCACTAGAACATAGTGCAGGAAACGACACTGGTGGGACTTTATTTCCTAGCTTAGTGTTCCCTTAGGGAGTAGTGATCCGGGGGCATTGTTACCTTCAACTGTGTGTCCCGGGACATTGGAAACAGCTTATCATTGTCTGGGGCGACTCATCTCCCCGAGGCAAGAGAGTTAACTGACTTTAAAAGTCCAGTTTCCACCCTTGCCGAACTAGGCTGGAATTCCTGGGCTCGATCGTAGCGCCACCAGTGGCTGTTACGAGTTATGTCCTTTCTATGCCTCTCCTATTGACCAATCAGATTCAACATCTCGTATCACTTGCATTTGCTTCAAGCAAAACGGTGGCGCCGAGTCAAGACGATCTGATCGATAATCAAGATCTATATTGTGATCAAACGAGTCTTACATGGCGAAGTGCATCAAATCACGTTAGCACCTTGATTAAAAACATGAAAAGATTTAGAAAATATCTGTTGATAACGAGTTAGCGGTGCACATGCTTGAAATCCTGCAGTCCACCGAAATCTGCATGACACTTTACGAACCGGATTTCGATTTCGGTGCGCGATTTTGATTGGACTATGCATAGACTCGTTAGTCCAGCCAAAATGTAACTCCATAATACCAGCCTAGTTCGGCAAGGGTGGAAACTGGACTTTTATAGTCAGTTAACTCAGTTGCCTCTGGAAAATGGGGGCGACTGTTCACATGATACACTTACTGGGGGACAATTCACTCGCCGAAAGAAGAGTGAGTGAGTATGGTTTTACGCCACTTTTAGCAATATTCCACCAGTATCACGTTGGGGGCACACCAGTATGGGCTTCACACATTGTACCCATGTCGGGAATCGAACCCGTGTAATCAGTGTGACAGGCGAACGCTTTAACCACTAGCCTACTTGACCGCCCCTTGCTGAAAGAAGAAAGGCGTCGATAGTACTTAGTCCTACCATTTATCCTACACTTTAAGACACAAGCGTCCTCGTGCTTAATCTATTTTAACTATACTTTATTACACCACACATGGGATAGAGCAAAGTTTATTTCTTAAATAGAGGCCCGGGTCATTTGGTTTATGATATACAGTTATATTGGTCGTGTAGATGGCATTCACAAGCCGTGGTACTGACTCTGTGTATATGAACCACATCAGATATTCTTAATCTGCTGTGTATCAAGTGGAGTGCTTTATATAAGCCAATTAAATAAATATTCTTACATACATGCCGAATTGCAGTGATATAGAACAACCTATCAGAAAACAACACCTGAAATAAACTAGCCAGATACAAGTAGTTACCTTTCGGTTGGGTTCCTCAACAAAATAATAAACTTTGGGTCCCTGTAGAGGTGACGCATCAAGTGGGGGGTTAGCACTTCCGGTTCTTCCAAACCTTCATTCTGGGGAATATTTGTCCAGCCCCGAAAATCCCAGAAATCAAGAGGCGTTCCATCTCCTGGAGTGAAAGTTATTCAGACGTCAGTAAATTAGTATGTTGGTACTTGCTACGATATGTGCTACAATGATTTGTATGTATGACTATTGCCTCTTCAAGTAGATCGGAGTTATCTGCCCTTTAGTTATTCCCCTTGAGTCACGGCAAATCTGGAGTGTACAGTTGTGAGTTTTATAATGGGGGTCTCGTTTCTCCAGTGATTGGACCTAGATCTAGCTTAAAGTGTTAATTACCAAAATAGACAGAATTTGTCCTTGTCCTGAATTATACTTCCGATGTACCACGCTAGAGTACTGAAAATTTCTGACAAACGAAAAGCAATGGAGATGTAAACATACTCGCTGCCTTAAATCTATATTTTCACAATTCGTTTTTTATCAAATAATGTTTTTATGGTGTTTGTTTGCACGAAGTACGACATTCCCACTGAGCGAGCGTCAAGTGACTGACGGTCAAGTGACGACATATTTTGATGTTCAAACTTTATTTAGGTGTCTGGGCACGGTTCCACAAAGCGATCGTAGCGCTATGACTGTCGTAAGTCCATAATAAAGTATGGGAGCTACGATCACCCAAGCGCTACGCTGACTTTGTTGAACGCGGCCCTGTATATCGTAGAAATGACACACCGACAGACTACTTCTACATTTCTGGGGAAACTCAAGGGAATTCCCAAGCATGAATAAATACAGAAGCATTCTTTCTGATCGTTTGGTCTTGTAGTCAGGACTTTTTAGTACACTGACAAAGTCGCTACGAACCATCTTATGACACATAACGAATGCTCACCAAAACTATCGGCACCTAGCCTGACAGTTAGCAGTATTCTGCAATATAGGAATTTACTTCTTACCTATTCGACACATCTAAAAACTCGCCTTTAAATAATCGGCCAACTCAGCATTGGTGACTAACATCTGATCGCGACACGTTTAATACGTTCGCACGTTCGAAATACAGATGGTGTTACTGTGTAGCATTTCAAACAAACACACGCTCATGAATATCTCGTTTAGACCTATACGACGAGTATAATCGCGCGCTAAAATCGATACATGCATATTGCGATTGACCGTGAGTGTATAGTGCATGTATCATATACACAGCGAAAAAGTCCATCTAAATTGGAATGTTGCACAAATTGCAGCGCCGTCAGGCGTTCTTTGTTGTGAATGTTGTTCTTTTGCGTTCTTTGTGCCCTGTGCGTACTGGCGTTTCTCTGTTTCATACGGCGTCTTTCCCTTGCTACCGATGGGATAAATCAAGGCTGTTCATTGATATTTATTGTGTTATTTTGCTTTATTATTTTTCATATTCATACGCCGAACATAACCTCTATCAGTTACATTTAGGACTTCACTTTTCGTAACTTTTGAATATTATTTCGCACTGTTGACCTGTTTTTCAATTGATGTTTATTTGGACAGAATGGCCACCCAAAGTAATAATAAACTTTAAAAGCTAAGTAAGCCGACAATCAAGAGGATTGACAATGACTGAAACCATATTAGCTAGAAAAGCCTTGATGTGAAAGTAGAGAGTTTACCAAATATATGATCGTGATATCCATTTGTTGTTGTCTTTCTTATAACTTCTTTGGCTTTCTTCATCCGGTAGATATAACTTTCCACTGTTTCTTTAGAATCCACGTTCCAGGCTCTAATACCACAACCTGCAAAATATTCATGCATGTGTGTAACCTGCAATATATACATCCATGTGTGTAACCTGCAAAATATTCATACATGTGTGCAAACTGCAATATATACATCCATGTGTGTAAACTGCAATATATACATCCATGTGTGTAACCTGCAAATATATACATCCGTGTGTGTAACCTGCAATATATACATCCATGTGTGTAACCTGCAATATATACATCCATGTGTGTAACCTGCAAAATATACATCCATGTGTGTAACCTGCAATATATACATCGGTTTGTGTAAACTGCAATATATACATCCGTTTGTGTAACCTGCAATATATACATCCATGTGTGTAACCTGCAATATATACATCCACGTGTGTAACCTGCAATATATACATCCACGTGTGTAACCTGCAATATATACATCCATGTGTGTAACCTGCAATATATACATCCATGTGTGTAACCTGTACTATATACATCCACGTGTGTAACCTGCAATATATACATCCATGTGTGTAACCTGCAATATATACATCCATGTGTGTAACCTGTACTATATACATCCATGTGTGTAACCTGCAATATATACATCCATGTGTGTAACCTGCAATATATACATCCACGTGTGTAACCTGCAATATATACATCCATGTGTGTAACCTGCAATATATACATCCATGTGTGTAACCTGTACTATATACATCCATGTGTGTAACCTGCAATATATACATCCATGTGTGTAACCTGCAATATATACATCCATGTGTGTAACCTGCAATATATACATCCATGTGTGTAACCTGTACTATATACATCCATGTGTGTAACCTGCAATATATACATCCATGTGTGTAACCTGTACTATATACATCCATGTGTGTAACCTGCAATATATACATCCATGTGTGTAACCTGCAATATATACATCCATGTGTGTAACCTGTACTATATACATCCATGTGTGTAACCTGCAATATATACATCCATGTGTGTAACCTGCAATATATACATCCATGTGTGTAACCTGCAATATATACATCCATGTGTGTAACCTGTACTATATACATCCATGTGTGTAACCTGCAATATATACATCCATGTGTGTAACCTGCAATATATACATCCATGTGTGTAACCTGCAATATATACATCCATGTGTGTAACCTGCAATATATACATCCATGTGTGTAACCTGTAATATATACATCCCTTCTTGGATGAAGATTAAGCACACAACAATAACAGTGAGTGAGTGAGTGAATTGGGTTTAACGCCGTCATGAACAGTATACCAGTTACACGGTTATGTCATGAGGAAACTCCAAACTAATGCAGGTCCCACACGCGAAACCCAAGAGCACGGGTGTGGTCTTGACGAACCCCCAAACCATTCGAACCCTACATCATAAGTTTGTAGCGTGCCCAAGGGATGCAACTCAGCATAGTGAGTTGTGGCGCCTCAGACGACTGGGCCACCCTTGCCCGTCATAACAATGAGTATACTGGCGTCATGTCTAACAAGGATTGCGTCACATTAGATCAATATACAAGTAGGTACAGACATAAACAAAATGAAACAAACCCAAATAACAAGACACAACAAATATCTGAACTGGAAGCGTAGGGGTACCCAGACAGCCTACCATATCTATGCATGCTCCAGTAGAACATCTCCTTTCCGCTCACGCCATCGTGAGCTGCTACTTCCGGGTGGGCCAAGATCCGGTCGAAGAGATCCGTGGTGCCACACTTGTCTACTCCAAGCAAGTGGAAGTAGGGTAAGCAGAGGACGTTCATGCGGCCATTCCTCGTTCTTTGGTGAAAACAGGGGTTCTTGTACTCTTTTAGGAAAGAGAGTCTCCTCTGTTAAAAGAGAGAAATTGTGTTTGAAATATGTAGGACTGCATTAGAGTGGTACGGGCGACCCTTAAGTCTGACAATTCTTACGATCGTCTATAAAAAATATTATTGTAAATGTTTGTTGTATAAACTCCGCACTCAGCCATATTCCAGGTGTAAGACGACGGCCTGTTAATAATCGAAGCTGGACCAGATAATCCAGTGATTGACATCATGAACATCGATCTACGCATTTGGGATACGATGACATGCATTAACCAAGTCAGCGAGCCTGACCACCCGATCCCGCAAGTCGCCTTTTACGACAAGCATAGTCACCTTTTACGGCAAGCATGGATCGTATGATTGGTCATGTTTCTGGCACGCCCACGGGACGCAACTCTGCACAGCGACTGAGCCATCCGTAACTTTCAAATATAACTATGCGCCTTGTGACTAACGTTGACCTCTGACCTAAATAATTAGTGAGTGAGTGAGTTGTGATTAACCTTGCTTTTAACAGTATTCCAGTTATATCACGGCGTGTCAGCTTAATGTGGGAGGAAAGCCCAAAGTGATGCAGGTCTCAGACGTTTACCACTTCGGTAAAACCCACGAGCACGGGTATTGCGCTGAGAAACCTAGAAACACAATCGGGGCGACCCAGGATTTGAACTCACAATCATAGGTTTCTGACGTGCCCAAGGGACGCAACTCTGCAAAGCGAATCGCGAAACCTTAGACGACTGGGCCACCTGTGACCCCCATAGATATTGAGCACGATGGAATATTCCTATCATTATAGTAGAGATACTCTGAATGAAGTGTCGACAACGACGATGAAATCCAAGCCATGAGCGTATCAGCTGTTGATGCAGTCAGCGACCAGGCAGCAATAAAAACCGAAAACGGGTTTCTCCTAACTCCAGATGTAACAGTTAGGACTGCACATAAAGATGGTTATAACAATGGAAGTCGATACACCTGACATGTAAATGAAGACAGATCTGACATGATGTAAACATCCAGCCCAACGGGACATCCATGACAACAGTTTAGGAGTCTACGGAAAGAGTGTGTTTTGTGGACAAGCAATCAAAGGATATGTAGCTCACCTTCTTGGAAGCTGTGTTGTGGAAAATATAATTGTAGAGACCCTGCAGAGATATGACCATAGCGGTCGATAGTTGGTCATGGTGTTGATATAAGACTACATCGTCGATATCAGACCAAAGCGCCGATATTAGACCAAGGGGTATTTATACTTGACCTTGGCAATGAGTGGATAATAAAACATCTTGGTTAATATCAAACCCAATGTCGATATCAGACCATAGTGCCTATATTAGATGAAAATGCCACAGGGCCCATATTACACTGTTTTAAAGCACATTTTGACTCTGGTTTGAGAAGGACGCATATGTCATCGACGAAGACATTAGAGGGGAAAATGTTAAGAAAATCCCGAATACTTTTTGAAAGCTCAAGGTCAAAATACAATGTTCAATTCAAAGTCAATGCTAACATCAATATACATAATGAGCCAAAATCCAAACATTGCATATAGCGCACTTCATATCGTTATTATCCAATTAGGCCCGTGTAATGTCATAAATGTTTGGTCTCAATACTGATGTTGTCTTGCGTACAATTGTAGGAAAAACAAAGAGGCGGCTTCGCCACCGCCGGCGATGGCAAAGACGTCGATGGAAAGAGGACGGCGGACAACCAGCTCATAACATAATCTCACTTGAACTTGCCTAGGCTGGGAACATCAGTTTGCGGATACACATGTCAGGCTATAGCGTTTGTCATTCTTAATGATTATTGTATGTTGCATACTTTCGTGCATCTTCCCGAGGCAAGAGAGTTAACTGACTATAAAAGTCCAGTTTCCATCCACCCTTGCCGACCTAGGCTGGTATTATGCAGTTACATTTTGGCTGGACTAACGAGTCTATGCATAGTCCAATCATAATCGCGCACCGAAATCGAAATCCGGTTCGTAAAGTGTCATGCAGATTTCGGTCGACTGCAGGATTTGCAAAGCATGTGTACTGCTAACTCGTTGTCAACAGATATTTTCCATATCTTTTCATGTTTTTAATCAAGGTGCTCACGTGATTTGATGCACTTCGCGATGTAAGACTCGTTTGATCACAATATAGATCTTGATTATCGATCAGATCGTCTTGACTGGGCGCCACCGTTTTGTTTGAAGCAAATGCAAGTGATACGAGAGGTTGAATCTGATTGGTCAATAGGAGAGGCATAGAAAGGACATTACTCGTAATAGCCGCTGGTGGCTCTACGATCGAGCCCAGGAATTCCAGCCTAATTCGGCAAGGGTGGAAACTGGACTTTTAAAGTCAGTTAACTCCCTTGCCTCAGGAAGATGACTTTCGTGATCAGTGCAGGAAACGTACACGGTTATTTGTGGTTTTCAACGTGTGTATCCTAAAGCGGCTTTAGGTGAAAGATGACGCCTACAAACTACTTTGTTTATACATTTCCGTACTTCGAACCTACTAGGGAAGTGTTACGACGTGGTGCAGTCGGACATAAATTTCAGTACGTGTGCACACCGACCGGGTCGACTTCTCTTTAGAGGCATGATGTGTACAGCTCGGAGCCCTGAACTTGAATGAAGACTGACTACAACGCGCTCGGTATCCATAGGAGTCGGGCCAGGACGCGAATACACACGCTCTTGGGACGAGATGAGGACGTACTGCGAACGAGTTGATCGGGTTAAGAATTAGTTAGAACTGGCTTGGACGTATTGTGAACGGGGTAGAATGAGGTTGAACGGGTTCAGAACGGGTTCAGAACGGCTACGGACGTGCTCGAACTGCTTCGAAACGTTGTCGGGATGATCTGAACGGGCTTTCTTACACGATCTGAACTGGATACAATCGGACTGCAGACTGGCTAAGAACGCGATAGACGTATTGAGGACTGCTTATGAACCAACTAGCATCGTATTTGATGCCAAACTACGCGTTCTACCGCGATCACAGCCCTTTCTAGTATTTTGTTTAGAACGGGGTAGAACGGGATAGAACTACTTTGGCGTGATGGTAGCATAACGTACATCATTTGCCCGATGTTTATGTATGTGTACCACTTTGAGGATGAGGAAGGTGATCATGATGTTTGCCAGTTGTGTTATGCGGTAGTCAGCAAGCGATATTCCACTATATCGGCAGCTATATTACGTCGGCCTTTAAATAATAGAGTTTGGGCAATAATAATAATGATAGAAAAAATCACAGAGGTCCATCCGTGGTACGACCCGGAATATGTAGAGGGCGTCATGGAAAATGATAAATACAAAATTCTTTGGAATAGGCTCGTATACACCCTCAGACCTATCAAGGCCAAAAAAAACCCTGATCTTGTCCATTTTGATAAATCCAATGAAATAATTTATATTATTGAATTTTCTGTCCCTTTTGACACTAATGTGATTGACAAGATTCAGGAAAAACATGGCAAATATGCGGACCTCGTTTTCGAAATGTCACGCTTGCATCCCAAGTACCATGTTGTCCGACTCCCCATTGTTCTCGGTGTCTTAGGTTTGAAACCTCCCAATCTATTGACTGACATTGGGAGAGTACCCGGGCTTGCTACCAGGAATACAGCCCTTCTGACAATCTGGGTAATGCAGAAGGCTGCAGTGTTGGGGAGTCTTCACATTCTCCGAAAAGTTCTGGGTGGGTTTGACTAGACAGCGCTTCCTGGGAGAAGTCCCATTCGCTGTCTGGGCATGCGTGTAGAGGGGGCAAGGGCCCAGATCTGATGATGAACCTAACAAGCCTGACTTTGTCAGGATCACGAAAACCCTCTTTGCTGCATTGTTAATTTTAATCTGTAAACAAGAACAAGAAGAAGAGGAAGCCAAATCTTACCCATAAAACATCTTTACAGATAAAAAAATATATATATTCACCAAACAGAAGATATCCTCCGCTTGCCACAAGTGTCTCCTTCCCCGACATCTAAAGGAAGTATTTCCTGGACTTGTCCCATATCCTTCACCACCACTTGACAATGTGGAATGTTGGGAATCAAAGACCAGGGGATGCCGAACGCCCTGTCGTAGAAGTTCTCCCTGGATTCTACTGGTCTGAAATGACCTCTCGTGGACACTGAGCCAGATGCCCATCACCACCAGACCCTGACACAGACAGAGTAGCCCAAGCGTGACCCTGGACAGAACAACCTTCCTCATGTCCATCCTGGCCGCTGGTTATGTAACAGAGATGTACCTGGTGGGTGATAGATGAGTAAAATTACTTGTCAATAAAACGTGTGATGTTTTACTTGAACTTAAGTAGCGTTAATGATCAGTATGTCCTAACATTATTCATTGTCAGCATTGATAATCAGGCACATATATGTCAGGTAAGTGACAAATGTTCACGAGTTTACATACTAGAAATGAGTTATGGTAAGGCATGTCCCAGTTGTGGATATGCAGTATGAAATGGTTCTTCGTCCGGTTAAACTGTTTTTGTTGAGCTTGGTTGAGCACGTGGTTCTCATTGGGACAGAAAAGCATGGTGTGACTGGAGATATTCATTCTGTTGATTGCATCGCGGACAGAGGTCTATTTTGCACGAGCCATACTTACAGCAACAGATGTTGTTGTTTTTTCCACTAGCCATGCTAACAGCAACTGACGTCTATTTTCCACAAGACATGTTTACAGCAACTGAGATCTATTTTACACCAGACATGTTTACAGCAACTGAGGTCAATTTTACACAGGACATGTTTACAGAAACTGAGGTCTATTTCACACAGGAGTTGTTTACAGCAACTGAGGTCAATTTTACACATGAAATGTTTACAGCAACTGACGTCTATTTTACACCAGACATGTTTACAGAAACTGAGGTCTATTTTACACCAGAGTTGTTTACAGAAACTGAGGTCAATTTTACACATGAAATGTTTACAGCAACTGAGGTCTATTTTACACAAGCCATACTTACAGCAACTGAGGTCTATTTTACACCAGACATGTTTACAGCAACTGAGGTGTATTTTACACAAGAGTTGTTTACAGCAACTGAGGTCTATTTTACACAAGAGTTGTTTACAGCAACTGAGGTCTATTTTACACTAGAGTTGTTTACAGCAACTGAGGTCTATTTTACACAAGAGTTGTTTACAGCAACTGAGGTCTATTTTACACTAGAGTTGTTTACAGAAACTGAGGTCTATTTTACACAAGCCATACTTACAGCAACTGAGGTCTATTTTACACTAGAGTTGTTTACAGAAACTGAGGTCTATTTTACACTAGAGTTGTTTACAGAAACTGAGGTCTATTTTACACTAGAGTTGTTTACAGAAACTGAGGTCTATTTTACACTAGAGTTGTTTACAGAAACTGAGGTCTATTTTACACCAGAGTTGTTTACAGCAACTGAGGTCTATTTTACACAAGACATGTTTACAGCAACTGAGGTCTATTTTACACAAGACATGTTTACAGCAACTGAGGTCTATTTTACACTAGAGTTGTTTACAGCAACTGAGGTCTATTTTACACAAGAGTTGTTTACAGCAACTGAGGTCTATTTTACACTAGAGTTGTTTACAGAAACTGAGGTCTATTTTACACTAGAGTTGTTTACAGAAACTGAGGTCTATTTTACACAAGCCATACTTACAGCAACTGAGGTCTATTTTACACTAGAGTTGTTTACAGAAACTGAGGTCTATTTTACACTAGAGTTGTTTACAGAAACTGAGGTCTATTTTACACTAGAGTTGTTTACAGAAACTGAGGTCTATTTTACACTAGAGTTGTTTACAGAAACTGAGGTCTATTTTACACAAGCCATACTTACAGCAACTGAGGTCTATTTTACACTAGAGTTGTTTACAGAAACTGAGGTCTATTTTACACTAGAGTTGTTTACAGAAACTGAGGTCTATTTTACACTAGAGTTGTTTACAGAAACTGAGGTCTATTTTACACTAGAGTTGTTTACAGAAACTGAGGTCTATTTTACACTAGAGTTGTTTACAGAAACTGAGGTCTATTTTACACAAGCCATACTTACAGCAACTGAGGTCTATTTTACACTAGAGTTGTTTACAGAAACTGAGGTCTATTTTACACTAGAGTTGTTTACAGAAACTGAGGTCTATTTTACACAAGAGTTGTTTACAGGAACTGAGGTCTATTTTACACTAGAGTTGTTTACAGAAACTGAGGTCTATTTTACACAAGCCATACTTACAGCAACTGAGGTCTATTTTACACTAGAGTTGTTTACAGAAACTGAGGTCTATTTTACACTAGAGTTGTTTACAGAAACTGAGGTCTATTTTACACTAGAGTTGTTTACAGAAACTGAGGTCTATTTTACACTAGAGTTGTTTACAGAAACTGAGGTCTATTTTACACCAGAGTTGTTTACAGCAACTGAGGTCTATTTTACACAAGACATGTTTACAGCAACTGAGGTCTATTTTACACAAGACATGTTTACAGCAACTGAGGTCTATTTTACACTAGAGTTGTTTACAGAAACTGAGGTCTGTTTTACACCAGACATGTTTACAGAAACTGAGGTCAATTTTACACATGAAATGTTTACAGCAACTGAGGTCTATTTTACACAAGAAATGTTTACAGCAACTGAGGTCTATTTTACACAAGAGTTGTTTACAGCAACTGGGGTCTATTTCACACGAGCCATGCTTAGAGCAAGTGAGGGCTATTTTACATTGTGGCCCGTTATTTAACGATGTTACGCTCAGTCATTAAGTCTCAAGCATAGGTTGCTGGGGACCAGTTCGAACCCGGAATCACCATGGATGGTAAATTTGGAAAAGGTACTTTGCACACATGTGGACTTATTTGACATTGAGTTATCAGTATTAGAGTTTTATTGTTGAAGGTGGCAGTACTCACAGTGTCAAACAATTAACGAGGCCATGTCGCCGTGCGATCCTCCTTCCGCTACAGATAGACGCCTGCCAGTGTGTAGCAGCTGTGAAGATAAAGCTTACCCTGTTAGATCCGTATCTGTCGTAATTCTCCTCAAGCCAGAGGATGCAATACCGAAGGCCAAACTAACTCTGCATCTGCTAGATGGTCAGCTACTCGAACGTATACAAACAGATCACCCAAAGAAATTCTATTAATTTCAAAAAATCAAAAACGAAATCATATAAAAACAAAACAAAAATCGTATCAATACAAAAACAGAAACTTGATCAATACTGAAACTCACAATAGACTTGTGTACTCTACTCACACATGAGTCCCAAAGAGGAACAGGTCAGACGAAAATGCTAAGGCAAAGACGACCTCTTAAACACTAAAAGCGACAGCAACATATTCCCCGTGATGTCGGTGTCTGTCAAGCCTTGACGATGCCCCACAACGCTGGTATGAAAAGGTTAGTGAAACAGAAGACATTGTACACTTGTACTGATACCCATGTAATTAGTGAGTGAGTGAGTATGGTTTTTACGCCGCTTTTGGCAATATTCCAGCAATATCACGGCGGGGGACACAAGAAATGGGCTTCACACATTGTACCCATGTCGGGAATCGAACCCGGGTCTTCGGCGTGACGAGCGAACGCTTTAACCACTACGCTACCCGACCGCCCCCCATGTAATTAAGTGACATTACCCAATACGACACCATTCGGAAACCTTGTTCACTCACCAATTCTTTATGTCCCATCCTAAATTCATTCCTTAACATCTACGTCTTTTTCGATAAAAATTCGAATTTATAAAACATTTACATTTATCATGTTACATTCGACCCTTGTTGTATGATAATAAATCTTAATGGTCGAATCTTCGAGAACTGAGTCTATCCAATCTCAGATATTTCCGGAATTTAAGCCTACAAATCCAACAATAGAGAACACAATATAAATAATATATATAGATACACGTTTCGGTGAAGGTTCTAACACTGTTACCAATTACGCCAACACCTGCTTGGTGACGGTGTTAGAACCTGCGTTGACGGTGTGAGGCGTCTAAGGCGCCGCGATTCGCTGTGCAGAGTTGCCTCCCTTGGGCACGCCAGAATCCTATGATTGTGGGTTCGAATCTCTGTTCGCTCCAATTATGTTTCTAGGATTGTCAGCACCATACCCGTGCTCGTGGGTTTCACCGACACGGCTGACACGCCGTGATACAACTAGAATACTGTTAAAAGCGGCTTTAAACATAACTCACTCTCTCACGCCTAAGGTGCTGTCGGATCAAGGATTAGGATCATTGTGAACACAACTAAGGAGCGCAACTCTGCACAGCGAATTGGACTGCCTTCGACATGTCGCAGTGCCCCTTAGTAATGTGTATTAACTTTACTAGCAACAGCTTCATCCAGCTGATACAGTTATTAGAAATAGATCATCAAGTAGCAATGATCCACATCGACGTATCGATTACATTACAGTGAACAAAGGGCTGAAGGCTATAGTGTCTGAAGCCGTTTCCTTTTGTCCGGGGATAATAAGACTTGCTGAGTTTTGCATTATGGGAGTGGGTGGTTTCCGGAACATCTGTCGCCTTGCCCGATTAAAACACGGCGTTTTATTTGTCACCTCCCGTGACACTCTCGTTGTTGATTGGATAGAGTCGCGTCTGTCTAACTACTGGTAGGCTGCAACAATTACAAGACTTGGGCTATGGTGCTTCAGCACAAGGTTAGACACAAGATAGATTCACTACCTCTAACATCCATTCCAAGACATAGTCAGTAAACCTACATAGCACTGATGTATATTTCCTAGCTAGCTGTAGTTTTTTACTTACAGCGAAGAAAAGTATATCTTGTTATAATTACACTGTGAAAGCCACAAATAGACATTATTATATAAGTACATCTGCATATAATTAACGTTTATACGTATATGCTGCATAGTGTGTGTCTCGTAGGCCGTAATATCAGATATAACCTATTTTTATTAATTATTTACAATATGATATTTGAATTATATACAACATGCGACGCAATAATTATATATGTTTCTTCTTCGTATTCCTGTTTTCAAGCAACACCTCGTGCTTGGATGCACGTTCAGCGTACGGTAAGCGAGTGACTGGGGTCCGTTTGATCGTAAATAATTAATGGCGATGCTAATCGTTCAGCATTCTTTTCGTTCTTTTACATACATAATCTGCGGGACAAGAGACAATATACGCCCGTGTTTGATGGTGGCTAAAAATTAAAAACAAACAAGTACAAATGGTATATCGATGTTGAAGTATTTGAAACGGGTATCATAGGCGATATTACATGCATCATGTCAATGAGTATCTTACTCCAGGTCAATCCAGAAGCATTCTGATAGCGTCCGTAACCTTGGGTCAAATCCAATTTTCAAGTGTATAATTTCTTTCCCCCGGCAGTTTATAATTTATAAGCTGCTTATTGACAGGGAGGACGTGTTTTTAGGGCGTGAGTACAGATTTTTTGTGATCAATTCATGTGTTTTTCATCACTCTGTAGTCTAAGGCAGAGTTAGTCAGTGTTGTGCAGAGTTGCGTCCCTTGGGCACGCCAGAAACCTATGATTGTGAGTTCGAATCCTGGTTCGCCCCGATTATGTTTCTTGGTTTGTCAGCACCATACCCGTGCTTGTGGGTTTCCCCAAAGTGGTATTAAATGTCTTAGACCTGCATCACCTCGGGCTTTCCTCCAACATTAAGCTGACACGCCGCGATATAACTGGAATTATGTTAAAAGCGACGTTAAACCCAACTCACTCACTCACTCACTTTGTAAGTATAGTATTATTTCCGTATCAGTGTAGAGTTAACTCTTTGTAAGTATAGTATTATTTCTCGAACCTGTTTTAAATATACTTCTGTGTTTTGTTTCTGGCTATTTTACTGTCCTTTGTGGATATCATTGTATTTTAATAACTAAAGTTTGTAAGCGCTCATAATATGGCTGAAATACTGCCTATGTCAGTAAACATGTAATCTCACTCACTCACTCACACACTCAATCATACAATTAGCCCTTTATCAATCAGTGCTATTACATATATGTTGTAATCACCTCATAAGTATAGAGTTAACCCTTTATTAGTCAACAGTGTTTACTTTGATACTTGTTTGAACACGTAAACAAAACCTAATTCCTGTTAACAGCGTGTCGCATACGTAACTACCGCTGTTTGTTGTTTAACGACGCACTCAGAAATACTCCTTCTGTACGATAGACAATCGAGTCTGGACTATACAATCCATTGATTAATAATATGACCAAAGATCCACACTACCATGTCACGCAATCAACCCAGTCAGTGAGCCTAACCACCCGATCCACTAAGTCACCTCTTCCGGTCAGAGGACCAAGTCTAACCCGACGTCTCCACGGGGTAACTTTCGGTCTATATTAAATTTCCGGTAATTTAATTCCTCTACATACGTATTTTGACTGAGGCTATGTAAGGTACGACGATTTTGAAACATTCTACAACTAAAACGTGACGCACTACATTACTGCGTATATTTATTTCTCCACGTTTCTCCTTGGTTCTCAAAACGTCAAAGCCTGAGAACAACTGCTGAAATAGATTTCATAGGGAGCAAAACGTAAACTAGTGATGACAAGTATATGAATGGACCCCAGTGATGAAATCAGGTGTTCGCGAAAGGTGTAAGCATGCCCTGCTCTAATGGTATATAGCACCCGAAGCTCCCATAATTTTCATTACAGAGACCGCCTCCGTGGTCTTGTGGTAGAGCGTCCGCCCGGAGAGCGGAAGGTCCAGGGTTCGATCCCGGGCCGCGTCATACAAAAAGACGTTAAAAGATTGTACTTGTTGTTACCCTGTCTGGCGCTCGGCATTAAGGGGCTAAAACAAGGACTGGTCGGCTCGGAGTCAGTATACTGTGTCTGAGTGAGGTATTCATGTTAAACTGCGGCATGGTATCTCAGTGAGCTAGCACTATAAATCGGCATCAGTCCGGACTAGTACAAGCAGCCACACACACACATACACGTGCATGCACGTCGCTATATAAGTGCAATAATCTTGGACGCGACGTTAAACCCAATTTCACCTCACCTCACCTTCATTACAGAAGTAAGTGCCAGGGAGCACAGAGCGTAAAAACTGACAACATTATGCTGGCAAGTAGCACGTCATACTTAGTTATGAAATGAAAACAAATGAAATAGGAAATTCATTAACAAACAGAAGGTGACTTCTGAGTACTTACAAAGTCTGGTCTGTCAGCTGGCATTGACGGAAATAAACATCTGTACATTCTTCACGCAGCATGTCCCGGCCTTTCTCCACAGCTGTTTGGAATCGATAATAGCATATTTAAATCGCCCTTGATCGATTCATACGTGCCTTCGGGGCGATCGATTATGTCACATGATGTACAAAATGTTGATGGGCATGGAATGATAATACTTTGTAAATGTTTATATGAGGTGAGGTGAAATTGGGTTTAACGTCGCGTCCAAGATTATTGCACTTATATAGCGACGTGCATGTACGTGTGTGTGTTTGTGTGGCTGCTTGTACTAGTCCGGACTGATGCCGGGACCGGGGCCATTTGGTTTCTTGTCTTCCCATGTTAGTGTTTCGATAATATAGCTTTATGCTTTAGACACATTAATTAGTTTCCGTATTGTTGATCAGCCGGAGAAGAATAAAAGAATAGATCACCGCTGCTTTATGCATGTCGTTTAAGGGATCGGTCATTTATTACAAGGAGGTGGGGGTGGGTCATTTTATATAATGCCCCTCCCCTTGTACAATGTACAATGCCATTTGGAAAGTGGTCAATTACAACAAGTGTTTTATTTGGGAAAACACTTTCTTCGTAAAGTCCTAGTTCTTATGGGGGTTGAGTGAGTGAGTGAGTTGGGTTTTACGCCGCTTTTAACATTATTCCAGTTATATCACGGCGTGCCAGCTTAATGTGGGAGGAAAGCCCGAAGTGATGCAGGTCTCAGACGTTTACCACTTCGGTGAAACCCAGGAGCACGGGTATGGTGCTGACAAACCTAGAAACATAATCGGGGCGAACCGGGATTCGAACCCACAATCATAGGTTTCTGGCGTGCCCAAGGGACGCAACTGTGCAGTGAGAATCGCGGCGCCTTAGACGACTGGGCCACCCGTGCAGAGTCTGTAGACACATTAAGAGAAACATTGGTCGTGAAATGGTTAACTTCCTTTGAGAAAATATTCGAAAACGTGGAACTTGGTTTCTTTTACGTTTGTTTATAAAGCCTTCCATAAGCCGGCCCTGCTCAGATTTCAGAATAGCCGCGTGTGTTTACAACAGAGAAAAAGTCCGGACTGATAATGTTTCTATTCTACAATGTCAAAATACATTTTGTTTTAAGATTTCTGGGCATCAAGTACTTAAAAACGCATAATGTTCACCTTCTACGTATTCCCCTATTGTAGCTACGTGATCAGGATTTGCGTCCCAAGACATACCCTTTGTGTGAGTTAAACAGCCCTCTTGGTACCTTGGATGTCAAACACCAAGTGTACAGAGCATTATGATCTTCATCCCAGTCTCTGATGTCGTACGGGGCGGTGGGGTAGCCTAGTGGTTAAACACCCCGGGTTCAATTCCCCACATGGGTACAATGTGTGAAGCCCATGCCTGGTGTCCCCCGCCGTGATATTGCTGGAATGTCGCTGAAAGCGGCTTAAAACCATACTTACTCGCTCTAGTGTCGTGCTGCATACTTGTATAGACTGTGTGTCATGGCAATTTGACATTGCAGATTGTCATTTTGTATATGATGCTGGGCCTAGATTTTCGAAACGATCTTAACACCTTACGATCAAAGATAAGATATCTTCGATACTATCTGAACCTGTCTTATATCGTACAAAGATACGATACTTATCGTAACTCTGAGAGAGAACTCATTTATGTTGGGGACTGAAAAAGCGTGGTGTTTACCAATGACAGCACGGGGATTTCCCAGCCACAAACAATAGCACGGAGAAATAACTCGGAATAAATTTGTTGTCAAATTGTTCTACACGCATCAATTTCCGTTCTTCCCGGTGACATAAAATGTTGTGTGGCTCCCACAATACCACTCAATATGTCAGTTTGCAACGTTTACCGATTATGTAGGTTTTGCTTTATTGTATACAACAATTAGTTTGCGAATATTCGGGTTAGACAAGGCCAAAGAATAGATCAGAAACGCGGAAATACACGAGCAGCTCTGTGCATTTATGAGACGTGTCGTCAATAAGTAGTTGCCTATAACACTATTGCGGCAAATACAATATGACAATAACAACTGTATGTAATTCGTTTGTAGTGAACTCGTTCACATGGACAGCCGTACACACCAACCTCTCCACAAAAGATATATTTATTAAGCATCCACTGTAAAACAGATGTGCATTTATGCATGTTAGCTACATTTATCACACCTTTCTGAATGTTTGCATGCTACAGTCACATTCATAAGTCAACGTATCAGGAATGCAGGTGAGAATAAATGCACATCTAGCTAGATTCTACTCGTTGATGGGGTGGTGGGGTAGCTAGTGGATAAAGCGTTCGCCCGTCACGACGAAGACCCGTGTTTGAATCTCCACATGAGTACAATGTGTGAAGCCCATTCCGGCTGTCCCCCGCCCTGATATTGCTGGAATATTGCTATAAGCGGCGTAAAACCATACTCACTCACTCTCGCCGTTGATGCTTTTCTTTGTAGCATATGTGTGTCATGTAAAGACATTTTGCGAAAAGAAAAAATGTAAAATATAGTGTTACTACACTATAGCTATTAAAATTAAAATGATGTGAGAAAAGATACTTTACTATTCTTGCTTGAAACGGTCTTCTCGCGAATGCGTCGTTGCGTAAAAACATGGCGTAAAAAGTCAAGGAGGAAAGTAAGGGCAGTTATTCTACCTGACAATGATGAAACCTTTGATCGAACAGCAGACATTCAGCATTATTCAAGTATGATGTATACTGGGTCAGTTTGACAATGCTGCATATGCTTTTGTTCATGACCAAAGTCACGTTACTGGCGAAAACCCCAACATTACACCTTGAAACACACAGAAAACAGCGCACACTTGCACTTATCATAATGTCAAGCGGGTTAATTTTGTTTGGTTTATGTCTCCAATGTATTTCATGAATAATCAACGGAGACAATTTTCACATCAAGCTGTTTGTGTGAACTCGAAACCTAATTGGCCAGGTCCGTGCTGAAGAAATATTGTTCTATAGGGTATATCTGTAACCTGTTACTTTCAGCAGGAAAGGATCGCCACAGATATAAGTAGCTAAAAGCAGTAGTGTACAGGGTAAGAGTAGGTTATTAAAGATCGTGTAAATGGAGAATGAATTCACAGGCCTTCAAGTGTTGCTCTTGTATTGTGAGTATTTCACTTCGGTGGACACCAATAATGGGATTCACACGTTGAACCTACATGGTACTTCCAGTCAGCCAGGAATGATTAAATCACACCATGTATCATTATGAATCTGAATGATGTATGGTCAGCAGCTACACAGATTTCGTGGCGAAATGGCCAAAGGTGCCACAATTTACAACGTAAATGTCAGATCCTTTCTTTTGCTGCTGGGTTTCAGCAAAGAATTAAAACACTAGACATCTACCTCCTGCGTTTCATGTACAGTGTTGAACCCAACTCACCAACTGTATCTGTGAAAAAAGACACTGTGATACAAACACACAAAAATTTCAACCAATACATTGTTACATAATATTTGAGCCACAAGAACTTTCATCAACATATTGTTACAGACTATGCTATTCAAATTGAGTTCAACTGATATTGTGAAAGTATATTTGATACAAACGAATCGAACCTTCACACCGTCCGGGATTCCAGACGGACCCAAAGTTTCGAGGTAAGATTCAGGATCACCATGGTGGAAAAGGTCAACAATGTCTGGCATCTTTGCTGACAGGTCGTGTGCTCAGTGGGATCTTCTGTATTTAGGAGACCGCCTCCGTTGTCTAGTGGAAGAGCGTGCTCCAGGAGATTGGAAGGTTCGGGTTTCGATACCCGGCTGCGTCATAAAGAAAGATGGTACCTGTTGTTACCCTGCCTGGTGCTCTGCATTAAAGGGCTAAAACAAGGAGTGGTCGGCTCGGAGTCAGTAAAATGTGTCTTAATTTGGTATTCTTGTTGAACTGCGGTATGGTATCTCAGCGGGCTAGCACAATAAAGTCGCATTTAGTCCGGACTAGTACAAGCAGTCACACACATTGTCATTGTATGACTGTCATTTTAATGGTTGATTTCGTTGAGATTTTGATCTTTTCAATACATTATACTTCATGCATCTATCTTTTGTGGATTTATAAACAAGAGTGATTTAAAACTATGGTAGGGTTTCTTTTGGCCGTCTGTTTATGTAATAGACGTGCAAAACTCCACTTCTCGTGTAATTAGCTTATTATGTAAGTCACATATACGGGGTGAAACTTTATAGACAAAGTCAATCTTACAATCTGTTCCATGAAGCACGCTATATATAATACCTTTCTGGAGACTCATCGCCGATATCTTTTATATGAAAATTGTCATACTGAAGACGAAAGCACAGTCCATTTTCGGAAGAAGCGGTCGTAAAATCGCGTAAACATGGTGCTGAAAGCACGATCAGAATTTCACACGCTTTGGACCTCGTTCTTGAGAGTGAGTGAGTGAGTGAGTATGGTTTTAGCAATATTCCAGCAATATCACGGCGGGGGACACCAGAAATGGGCTTCACACATTGTACCTATGTCGGGATTCGAACCCGGGTCTTCGGTGTGACGAGCGAACGCTTTAACCACTAGGCTACCCGACCGCCCCTGCAAAGCAAAGCACATGGGGTCAACTGAAACTGGCTTTTACATATCTGTACGGTGAATAGGGCCCCCCCCCAAATTTGCAAGTTTTAACAAATACCATAAACAACAACCTGGAGATCATACATATCAAGGATTTAACAAATGTCAATCTTGGAAAATGGTAATTTGAGGTTGAAGCGTGTCACAGCTGGCTTCGTTTAAAATCCGGAAAAAGTGTGATTAATGGATAATCTGGTCCAGACATTATATAGCTGGAATGCTGATGTGCGGCGTTGTAGAACAACCAAAACACAAAATGTGTAGTGGCTAATTGTATTCAGATATATAGGGTGAGTTAATGGATTGTCGATTTTGTGTTTGGTGTTGAAATCCGCACTCCGCACTCAGCAATATCCCAGCCAGTCTGGACTAGACAATGCAGTGATTGACATCATGAGCATCGATCTAGTCAGTTACGATGACATGAGTCAAACCCACTCAGCGAGCCTGACTTCCCGATCCCGTTCGTCGCCTCTTTCGACAAGCTGAAGCTGAAGACGGGATTTTCACGTGTCTCGATATGCAAGTGCCTGTGTGATGTGCGTATGTGCGTATGTGCTGGTGCAACACATTTGTCTATTCAGTATTTTAATCAACAGTAAAACACACACTTCTGGTGAAGATCCAGGTTAGATTACGTCTTCAGCAGCCCATGCTTACCGTAATAGGAGACTATGCTTGTCGTAAGAGGCAACTAACGGGATCGGGTGGTCAGGCTCGCTGACTTGGTTGATGCATGTCATCGTATCCCAATTGCGAGGATCGATGCTCATGACGTCAAACACTGGATTGTCTGGCCCAGACTCGATTATTTACAGACCACTGGAATATTGGCGAGTGCGGCGTTAAATAACAAACAAAGTAAAACACACACCAGATCATGCAGATTTTATTGGCAATGTGGACGTACGCTGATGCAATCTAAGTTAGAGACAGCTTTTCACCCATTCCTCTTCACACCAGGCCTTGGGTGTCTCCCTGTAATGATTCACGCCAAAGTTGTGCGCAGCCTTATAGTACAGGACTGCTGTCTCCTCGCAGGTATCGGCGAACAACAACCCGGGACAAGTCTTCATCATGTTTTTCTTAAAGACATCGTCGCACCAAAGTCTGGATTTACCGAACTTCGCACCCTGAAACAAATACGCCTGATTGTTTACCGCTAATTATATATAGCAAATATATATAATAAATCGCAAAAGGAACGTCACTTCACCATTGCCGATACCCTACTGGAATTAATAACCCCCCAGAGAAGGCCTTAGTCCTGTTTGTCTTGAAGATAACACACCATAGTCTGGATTTACCAAACTTTACAACCTGAAGCAAATACAACAGATTGTTTACCCTTAACAAAATCATTCAATATAACAATGATTGTTGCACATTTATGAAATGCTACTTCATTTTTTGAAAGGTTATTAGTTTGTGTGTTTGTTGTTTAATTCCGCATTCAGCAATATTGCAGCTATATGACGGCGGTCTGTAAATAATCGATTCTGGACCAGACAATCCAGTGATTGTGCATCGATCCACACATTTAGATACGATGACAAGTATCAAGTCAGGGATCCTGTAAGTGTCCTCTTACAAGTATAGTCGCCTTTTAAGGCAAGCATGGGTTGATGAAGACCTATTGAAGATCCGGGGTAGAATAGGTCTTCAGCAACCCACGCTTGCCGCAAAGGGCAACTACGCTTGTCGTAAGAGGATTGTCTGGTCTAGATTCGATTATTTACAGACCGCCGTCACATTGCTGCAATATTGCTGAGTGCGGCGTTAAACAACAAATAAACCTATTCTAAAATGTTATTAATTTATATTTCTTCAGATATAAGGGTATTCATATACGTTTCAATCATCCGTCAAAAGCGGTCACAGATTCACTCCGGAAACATATCTCCAGCCGTCCATATGTACAGTGAGTGAGTGAGTGAGTTTGTTTTACAACGTTTTGAACAGTATTTCAGTTATATAGTTATTCAGCATTATGATGGATAACAGCCCAAACTCTTGAAATTTACCTCTTTGGTGAGACTCAAGTGCATGGGTAGGGCGCTGACAAACAGATATTATATTCAGGTCGACTGATGGATTCCAACCGACGATAAGAGAAACCTATGCATTTGTTTATATAAATAGATAGGTGTGTTTCTCATTGGCTTTGAATGAAAATCACTCACACATCCGTAGCAAATGTCGTGCCTGTTGCAGGAAGGTGTGAATCTATCCTTGAATGGAACCCATTCTACAACTGTAGTACAGCCGTCCACGTGTTCTCCAGTACAGTCGTTAGCGACGACCTCGCCTACCACCAACGTCAATGCCAAGGTCAACGCATACAACAGCATTGTCATCTGAATTAATGAAGAATTAGTGCTATATAAAGGTATTGTAAATCCAAACATCAATTTGGTTTATACCACTCTTGTTAAATGTATTATACTGCCATTTAAACTGAAACAGTAGTTGCTTCAATTGCAAATATTGCCTAGATCCCTATGTTATGGTGCACGAATAAATGATGAAAACATGAATGTAACTACTGACAGACCCGTGAAGATCCGGGGTAGAATGGGTCTTCAGCAACCCATGTTTGCCGTGAAAGGCGACTATGCTTGTCGTAAGAGGCGACTAACATGATCGGGTGATCAGACTCGCTGACTTTGTTGATGCATGTCATCGATCCCAATTACGTGGATCGATGCTCATGATGTCAATCACTTGATTGTCTGGCGTAGACTTGATTATTTACAGAACGCCGTCATATAACTGGACTATTGCTGAATGCGGCGTTTAACAAATAAAAACAAAAAAAACAACATAACTACTGACATTAAACCTGATATGCCAGATGAGCTTGAGGATTTCTTTCCCACTAACGCTGCTTGAAATTTGGACATAATAATATTAAGCTATTCCTTCTTCGAATAACAAGAGAGCTTAAAATGAACACATACCTGTATCGACGAAACAATGTGTGCACATGAGAGACATCCACGTCAGCTTTTATATCCAGATACTAAACACACGCCCGACTTGATTATTACCCACATCGTGCCAGGTGTTCAGATGGTATTGTAAGTACTTTCAAAGGTGGGGCTGTCTAGTTTAAACATGCAGAGATTCGTCATGATTATGGAGAGGATTGTGTCTCTTATTATTTTTATTTTTATTTTGTTGTACAGATTAAAACATATAATGCAGCAAAGAGGATCTGGGTGGTCCTGGCACAGTCAGGCTGGTTAGGTTCATCATCAGCTCAGGGCCCTTGCAATCCAGTGATTGACATCATGAGCATCGATCCACCCAATTGGGATACGATGACATGCATCAACCAAATAAATTCTGCATGGTCTGGTGTGTGTTTTACTGTGTTGTTTAACGCCGCACTCACCAATATTCCAGCTGTATGTCGGCGGTCTGGACCAGACAATACAGTGATTGACGTCATGAGCATCGATCCTCGCAACGTGGATACGATGACATACATCAACCAAATCAGCAAACCTGACCACCCGATCCCGTTAATCGCCTCTTACGACAAGCATAGTCGCCTTTTACGGCAAGCATGGGTTGCTGAAGACCTATTATACCCCGGTTCTTGAAGGATCTTATAGATATGGAAAGGGTTTTGTGACTTTGGTCGTATATAAGTCAATAAAGCCAAATCCGCTGGTGGTAAATGATTTATTCAAAAAGGACAATACCCTCCTAATTGACTGTGCTGTTGCTATAAATGATTTCTTACTTCTAAGACCGTGACCGGATGCATCGTTCAGAGGTAGAGAAATAATGATAGCTTTGGTGTCATCCTCATGACATTGTATTTCGTGATATAATTCGTGAATAATACAAAACACACATTCTACGATGAAACCTGGAAAATCCTCGAGTTCGATTGGTCAATCACAGGTTTCAAATCTTGATAGCCACTTTGACTGCTAATTTGACTGCTGCAGCGTATCTAGAACCCTGCATTAATGATCAAATGGCAGTCAGTTCATCATTTAGACATTGAGGTCAAACATATGATCTCACTTAAGTATATTAATACAAATGTGTGTCTTCTGAACCAAACGTATAAAGTGACACACGCATGTAGTGCTCAATATGTATCTAAACTTTACTCCTCTATGACTTGAATACTACAAAATCAGACAAAATCAGATTTCTCTAATCACTAATTATACCTTACAGTCACAATGTTCAAGAGTGAACAATAACATAAATTTGGTTATAGTGAGTGAGTGAGTTGGGTTTAACGCCGTTTTTAACATTATTCCAGTTATATCACGGCGTGTCAGCTTAATGTGGGAGGAAAGCCCGAAGTGATGCAGGTCCCAGACGTTTACCACTTCGGTGAAACCCACGAGCACGGGTAAGGTGTTGACAAACCTAGAAACGTAATCGGGGCGAACCGGGATTCCAACCCACAATGATAGGTTTCTGGCGTGCCGAAGGGACGCAACTCTGTACAGCGAATCGCGGCGCCTTAGACCACTGGGCCCCCGGTGCCCCCCGTGCCCCCTAAATTTGGTTATAAATGACACTGAATCCAATAATGTCACACACTCAGTTTGATTATAATCTTTAGTATGCGTTGTTATAGCGCAGTGGGTTAATAACTTTTGACAGATCGATATTTTGAATATTTAGTACGTGTTGCGAAGATTTAATGGAGGATTTAGGTGAGCATAATATACACCTGTTGACGTGACGGTGCGTATTCTGACTGACAAGGTAAGAACTGTTTCTGTGCTATGTCGAAGAATAAGGATGTGGGTTAGGTCTAACGCCGCTTAAGAGAATTTATATGTTATAGCTGGGAGTGGTGGGGTGGGGTGGGGGTGGGGGGTGGGGGTGGGGCGGGATGGGGGGGGGGGGGGTAGGGAGGGGGAGTACAAAAGCCATGCAGGTGTTATACACGAGCACGGGCGATGTGCTGACAACCCATGGTGAATCTAGGATACGTTTCCAATGGCCGCAACTCTGGGGTGACTAGGGCACCCGTGAACCTCTCTTTGGTTCAAACAGTGTTTTCACGTGTTGGTCTGAATTCAGTTTTCATTTGGATCAATATCGATAACTCAACCCGATATTTCCAGGGTAAGGGTTAAATATATACGATGGCTCATACTAAATTGGACAACCTCAACTGATCGAACAAGAGGCCAACGTTAAGCTTATTGTATGTCACATTTCTCTTAATGGTCAGGGAGCGGTCAGGTAGCCTAGTGGTTAAGGCGTTCGCTCGTCACGCCGAAGACCCGGGTTCGAATCCCGACATGGGTACAATGTGTGAAGCCCATTTCTGGTGTCCCCCGCCGTGATATTGCTGGAATATTGCTAAAAGCGGCGTAAAACCAAACTCACTCACTCACTTAATGGTCAGAGCTGATTTCAATGTTGGCACGACAAGAACACAACAATTTTATAAACATTCAGGAATTAAGAAGTAACTAATTGGTGTTGTTCACGTTTTGTCAATCCTACATGTAATTACACTGTAATACTTTGTTAAAATTGTTATCGTTCATTCTTTGTGAAATAGGGGGCGGTTGGGTGGCCTAGTGGTTAAAGCGTTCGCTCGGCACGCCGAAGACCAGGGTTCGATTCCCGACATGTGTGAAGCCCATTTCTCTGGTGTCCCCCGCCGTGATATTGCTGGAATACTGCTAAAGGCGGTGCAAAACCATACTCATTCACTCTTTGTGAAATACATCAATTTTTCAATGTGTCATCGCATCCACGTGTTGTGTTCTTAATTTCTCGTATTTGCAATCGTATTACTATGGATATATAATATTGTTACGTCATCTTTCGTCCAGGGTAGAACAGGTCTTCAGCAACCTGGGGCGGTCGGGTAGCCTAGTAGTTAAGCGTTCGCTCGTCACGCCGAAGACCCGGGTTCGATTCCCGATTCTCTGTTTACAATGTGTGAAGCCCATTTCTGGTGCCCCCCCCCCCCCCCCCCCCGTGATATTGCTGGAATATTGCTAAAAGCGGCGTAAAACCATACTCACTCACTCTTCAGCAACCCATACTTGCCGTAAAAAGGCGAATACGCATGTAAGTGGTGACTAACGCGATCGGGTGGTCAGGCTCGCTACAGACTAATTACAATATTGCTGAGTGTTGATTTTATTGATAACGTACATGTACATAGTTGCCTTCTAGGTTAGAGGCAGCCTTTGACCCATGGCTCTCCACACCAATAATGTGGCTTCGTGCGGTAACGGTCTTTGCCAGCGAGGCGGACAGCCGTGTAGTAGACGTTAGCCGATACCCTGCAGGGAGCGATGTGCCACCATCCACAAGATCTTATCATGTTTGTCCTGAACACATTGTCGCACCAGAGTCTGGATTTACCGAACTGAACGCCCTGAAACAAATATACCAGATTGTCTAGATAACCAAGATGGTTTATTAATCAATATTTTCTGTACATATTCGTATTCCATGTCCACTCGTGAACAGCCGCCCGCGAGTGAAGAGCCGCAAGGTTACAGATTACATACATTGTCACACCATCGTGCAAATACTGATTTATTTAGACTAAAAGCTATATGTCTATATCAAGTACGGATCCAGCATTTTTAACATGGAGGGGTAAAAAATACCACACACACACACACACACACTCGCATACACACACACACTCACTACACACACACACTCGCATACACACACAAACTCACTACACACACTCGCATACACACACACTCAAAAACTCAAATACACATACACTCACATACATACATACACACACACACACACTCACACACACTCGCATACACACACACACTCACATACACACTCACTACACACACACTTGCATACACACACTCACATACACACACACACACTCAAATACTCACATACACACACACTCACATACACACTCACTACACACACACACACACTCGCATACAATACTCACATACACACACACACACTCAAATACTCACATACACACACACTCACATACACAAACACACTCGCATAGACACACTCACATACACACACTCACTCACATACACACACACACACACACACACAATCACATACACACACATTCGCATACACACACACACTCACATACACACACACTCGCATACACACACACACACACACACACAATCACATACACACTCACATACACACATACTCACAACCACATACACACACACACACACACAATCAATCACATACACACACACACTCACACACACACATTCGCATACACTCACACACACTCACATACACACACACACAATCACATACACACTCGCATACATACACACTCACATACACACACACTCACAATCACATACTCACAACCACATACACACACTCGCACACACACAATCACATACACACATTCGCATACACTCACACACACACTGACATACACTCACATACACACACACACTCACATACACACACACTCACATACACTAACACACACACACACACACACACACACACACACACACACACACACACACACACACAAACCTCACTCTGGATGCGCCTCTGTATTGAGCTTATGGTGAAACTCGGGGATTTGATTCCACCAGCAGAAACATGGATCCTGTTCAAGTAAATATAAAACGTCATCGCCTGACAATAACCAGCCTCGATTATACGACGAAAGTGATTGTATTGGGCGTAAAAGGCATAATAAAATGAAAGGACCAGTGAAAATCAGTGAGGACACCAGGACTTCGTAAGCATGTTGTAAGAAACGACTACGTTTGAACCTCTCATGGGTAGAACTGGCCCAAAGCGGTCTATGCTGGTGGTAACAGGCGACTTAATGCCTGGGGGGGGGGGGGGGGGGGGGGGGGGGGGTCAGGCTCGCTGACGTGGTTGATGTGGCTGACGTGGTTGATGTGGCTGACGTGGTTGATGGCCTGTCAACGTAACCAGACGGCGTCATCGTTCGTTGCTCATAATATCAATCACAGGAATATCTGCAGTGTGTCTCCCAGACCCATGAGATTATATTAAAAAAGGAGTCCAACTCAAGTCTAGAATGATTTCGCAAGACAAGGTTGCCTCAGCCCGAAATTTATCATTTTCTATTTTGTAGATATATACTCTTCAAAAAAAGGAACTTGACACTGACTTTCAAAATGTGATATAATGCGATTGTTTCAAAATAGGACACAGAAACCATAATTGAAACACTGTTTGAAGATCAATGTATACAATGTTCAAAACATTAATCGTGTCACCTAGACAGACAAACGTACACGATACACGACATGTCACAGGGGTACAGAAAATGTCAGTATCGGTTGTGCCCACCACGTGCATCAATCACCGCTTGATACCGACGACCCATAGATGCAATCAAGTTGTCAATAACACGCTGTTGGATGTGCTGCCATTCATGCTGAAGTGCATCAAGAAGCGCCGGAAGTGTTTGGGGCGGGGGATTCCTTCTGCGAGCGCGTCGATCCAACTCGTCCCACAGATGCTCAATCGGGGACAAATCTGGTGACCGGACTGGCCAAGGTAATGCCCGGATGTTGCTGTGCTGTAAGAAGTTCTGACAAACACATGCAATATGCGGTCCTGTGTTGTCCTGCTGGAACTGTCCGCCATGAACGTTGACGTGAGGAAGAACGTAAGGCTGTAGGATCAAGTCTCTGTAACGCACACCTGTCAGTGCACCTGCCACATGCACGAGAGGCGTTCTACCACCGTGATGAATTCCGGCCCATACCATGACACTCCCGCCGCCAAATGGAACAACCTGCTGCACACAGTTGGGGGCGTAACGTTCACCCCGACGTCTGTAGATACGTGCGCGCCCATTAGCACGTGTGAGTAGGAAACGGGACTCGTCAGTAAACAGTACATTTCTCCACCTTGCACGTGCCCATCTAACCCTCTGTTGGCCCGAAAGGAGACGGTCCGCTAGATGACGTGGGGTCAATACATGACGTCGAACAGGTCTTCGTGCAAAAAGTCCAGCCTCCCTCAGTCTGTTGCGTACCGTTTGATCTGATATTCTGCGTACCCCAGGAATCTGTGTGGTTGTAGACGTGGCTGTGGTAGTGCCGTCTCGGCGGTGTCGCAGCCGGATGTATCGATCTTGTGCTTGGGTTGTCACCTTTGGTCTTCCTGACCTTGGTCTGTCGTCAACTCTGTTGGTGTTGTTGTATCGGGTCCACAGTGCGGATATTGTCTGTCTGGATACGCCAAAGTGCCTGGCCACTTCTTGCTGAGTTGCTCCAGCTTGTAATCTCCCAATGGCGTTGTTCCGTTGAGCTGCATTCAGTCTTGGCATTCTGTCACCGCCTCTACTGCCATTTTTAGGACTGAATGAACAGCCGTTGATGTGGATTTGTATACCCATTCAGCAGGGGGGCATGCATGCCTAAATGCAGGATCCTGTGCTGCACGTTTTTTACAGGCGGTTGCGTTTGGATGAAGCTGTAAAATTGATCCCCAAACGCTACGTTTATGTGCTTTGCATGTGTTTTCGCAAATTATAGACACATAATCTTTCTGTTTGACTTATTTGGTTCTCATTTAATGTAATTATTTTAGATATTTGGCAAAAAGTGGTTTTACTTCTATGTCAAGTTTCATTTTTTGAAGAGTATATATAACGTCCATGTCTACCGCAGTCGGCTAAAGCTGCACTACTCGATACATGTTTACCAACACCCAATACATATTTACAAAAAATATATGAAATCTATTAATAACAGCTCTTTCTTGGAAGCCCCACACCTCCACCCCATATAACAAAATGGTCTTATTTTACATGCAAAAAGGGGCGGTCGGGTAGCCTAGTGGTTAAAGCGTTCGCTCGTCACGCCGAAGGCTCGGGTTCGAATCCCGACATGGGTACAATGTGTGAAGCCCATTTCTGGTGTCCCCCGCCGTGATATTGCTGGAATATTGTTAAAAGCGGCGTAAAACCAAACTCACTCACTCACTACATGCAAACAACTTTAATAACATATTCATAACAAACAGAGCTTTACTGGCTTTTGTAACAAGGGTATTTGTACACACTCTCCATTACAACCTAGGAGTAAACAAAATACCTAAATAAATATAAATAAATGTTTGTTAGTTGTTTAACGCCGCACTCAGAAATATTCCCGCTATATGACAGCGGTCTGTAAATAATCGAGTCTGGACCAGACAATTCAGTGATTGACATCATAAACATTGATCAACGCAATTGGGATGCGATAACATGCATCAACCAAGTCAGCGAGCCTGACCACCCGATCCCGTTAGTCGCCTTTTACGACAAGCATGGGTTGCTGAAGACCTATTCTACCCCGGACCTTCACGGGTCTTCCGTGTTAGAATATGTCCCCAGTTACCTATGGTGGTCGACAAGCATAAGAACCATTATGTACGGCATTGGTCAAAGCTTCAACAGCTAAATCAACATTCAAAGACAATAAATGAATAAACCCATCCATGTGAAGTGCAGGCAATGACAAACATTATTTCGTAAGGCATCACATTTTTAATTTCTCCATGTATATCTAGGAAATATAATAACAGAATTTCTACATTAACATTATCTACCTGTCTGTCTGTCACATCCATGGAGGGTAAGTGTCATAGGAAAGTGATTTGATTCACAGCGAGTACATCTGCTAAAGTCGGAAATGTTATCAATTAAACTAGTAGAGCATCGTACATAGTCAACCAAACTAGCGCCACCCTCCTTAAAACAACTAAGTGATCCGTCCTTATCCCCAGCAAATCCTCCCTTTTATAATATGGACAGAAAACGTACAACACAAATTCGACCAGATCCCTCCCGTATTCATCACACACATCATCTCTGGTACTGCGGGGCACGTGAAATACATCCGATACATCCTCAATGTCGTCTAAACATGGTATAAATCTGTTTTCGTCGATAATAAAATCTTTCATATCACCACACCGTATATAATAGTCGCCAGGAAGAATAACTCCGCAGTCTGGGTATTCGTGTCACACAGCAGACAAACCTTTATCTAAGTACTCTATACCCTTGTGGATTCTATGATGCTATTGTATATTGTCTTAGAAATCACTCACACATCCGTAGCAAACGTCGTGCCTGTTACAGGAAGGTGTGAATCTTTTCTTGAATGGAACCCATGGTAAAACTGTGCTGCAGCCGTTCACGGTTCCTCCAGTACAACTGGTAGCGACGACCTCGCCTACCACCAACGTCAACGTCAACACCAACGTATACACCAGCATCGTCATCCTGAATGAAGAAACAGTGCCATGTCAAGGACATGTTTTATGTGTTTGTTGTTTAACTCCGCTTTCGGTAATATTTCAGCCATATGACGGCGGTCAGTAATAAATCGAGTCTGGACTAGACAATACGGTGATATCATGAGCATAGCTCCACGCAATTTGGATACGATGACATGCATGAATAAAGTCAGGGAGCCTGACCACCCGATCCTGTTAGTCGCCTGTTACAAGAAGTATAGTCGCCTTTTACGGCAAGCATGGGTTACTGAAGACCTATTCTTCTCCGAATCTTCTCGAGTGACATGCACATCTACATCTAAACATCAGTAGGGTGCCTTCATCCTTTGTAATGTTAAGATATAATGTTGGCATTATATACTTGAAAAATTACTTGCTTCAACAAATAGCTTGATGACAAGCTCAAAGAAATGTAAGATTACATCAATGTAACATCGGTCTTAAACCTGTAAGATGGAAGATCAGCGTGTACAGTCCTTGCAGAAAATATGACGTTAATCTGTCTATGAATACAACAGAGCATAAACTGAACACATACCTGTAGCGAACGCAAGACCTTCATACACGGGAGCCAGGCAACTCACCTTTTAATAGTTTCATAGTTTTTGTTTTATAGTTTTATGGTTTTATGGTGTTATATTTTGAACATGAACACCACCAGATGTTTAGATTGTAAGTACAGTGGGGGGCATTGACAAACAAAAACTTTCACGCTGATTTGACGAACTCTCGCGAACAGTACGAATGTTTGAAATTTAAGAAATGATTGAAATTTATCTACGAACACGAAAATTTTCCTATTCGGGGTGATTCGGGATATTCGTGGTCGTAGTGAAATGGGGGCGTAAGAGGATGGTGGCACCTCTATTACCTCTTTTATTCCCCGATTGCTGAACACCAATTCTAGCCCGGATCTTCACGTGACAGATGTGGTATCAAGGAAGACTGGGTTGGCTTATGGCTTATGGATATGGAGTTTAATGCCATAAGTTTTCGGTGCCACTTGCGAAACGTCGCATGGAGAGAAATAGTAGGTGAAATACCTATTTTCCCATTCATCGACAAGCATGGCTTGCTGAAGACCAATTCAGACCTGATCTTCGCGGGGGTCAACTTCTGTCGCAGTGCTGCTTCGAAAACAATCAATATTTGACGAATTAAACATTTCTTACCATATGTCATTGTGAGAAGACAACTGGACAGGACTCAAGTCGTGTAACTGCAAGAGCCTGGTCATAGGTTGGTCTACTATATAGGGTTCAACGTCGCAGTTGCGGTAGTTCATCAAGTCACACAACCGGCAACAGTTTTTCAACTGACTTTCTTGGTAAGTCACTCCTTGAAGGAAAAATAAGTGACGCTATAGAGTCTCCCTACTGTCTTCAATCACTGAGTCAACTCTGGACTTGGAGACGAGGTGAAATGGGGGTTAACGTCGTCTCCAAGATTATTGCATTTACATACCGGCGTGTGTGTGTGTGTGTGTGTGTGTGTGTGTGTGTGTGTGCAGAGTTGCGTCCCTTGGGCAAGCCAGAAACCTATGATTGTAGGTTCAAATCCCGGTTCGACCGATTATGTTTCTAGGTTTGTCAGCACCATACCCGGGTTTCACCGAAGCGGTAAACGTCTGAGACCTGCATCACTTCGGGCTTTCCTCCCACATTAAGCTGACATTTCCGCGATATAACTGGAATACTGTTAAAAGCTCACACACTCACAAATGTATTCACCTATGTTGGATGGTAGCAAATGAAACTTACAAGAAAAGGTTGTGCATTGGTGATGTATTTGATACGAGTATCATAGTTGTGTTTTGTTTGGGGACTGTTTCAGCCTAGTAACGTTTTGATAACGTTTGTAAATTTGGTCTTATCCAATTTTCAAGTGTTTGCTTTTCTTTTTTACGGCAGATTGATATAAAACAGCCAGTGAAGTGTCGGTGTTTAAGGTTACATGTAGTAATATCTCAACGATAACGCAGTAGTCAGCACATAATCTGAGAAATTTGCCTTTAATGACTTATAGCATTGCGTAGAGTCCGCAACAGTCACGGAATTCATCACATGAAAACCTGATTACTTTTTATATCCTGCACACAAAATGAATGGTCGGTGCCAACTTGAAATAGAAGAATAGTGTTACACGTTCACAAGCCGAATGGGATGGACTCCATTTCCTGTAGGTATAAAGTTATGTCTTAAAAGGTAGACCGCCTCCGTGGTCTTGTGGTAGAGCGTCTGCCCGGGGCGTCATACCAAAAGACGTTCAAATATGGTACTTGTTGTTACCCTGTCTGGCGCTCGACATTAAGGGGCTGAGTGGGGTATTCATGTTAAACTGCGGCATGGTATCTCAGTGAGCTAGCACTATAAATCGGCATCAGTACAAGCAGCCACAAACACACACACACACACACGTGCATGCACGTCGCTATATAAGTGCAATAATCTTTGACGCGATGTTAAACCCAATTTCACCTCACCTCACCTTAAAAGGTAGGTCTCCTATCTCAAGTCAAACCCATAATGGCGGCAGGGCCTCTTTGATTCGGTGGTTTAACACCGCACTCAGCAATATTCCAGCTATGTGACGGTTGTCTGTAAATAGTAAAATCTGGACTAGACAATCCAGTGATTGATGTCATGAGCATCGATCTAGGCAATTGGGATACGATGACATGCATTTACCAAGTCTGCGAGCTTGACCACTCGATCCCGTTCGGCGCCTTTTACGGCATACAAGGTGTCCGATTATGAAGCCTCGCACAAATGTTTCTTTCGTAACACACTGACACTGTGATACTTTAACATAAAATATTCATAAAATATAATTGTAAACCACTGAGAACATGTACATATAAAACGATACCCCCATGTAATCACTGAACTATGCGACCCCTGCAGGCATATTTTGTCACCTCACAGATAATACCCAGTAAGTCAGGTGAGCTACACTGTCATTGGGCTACATGAATGGGTTTTTTTATATTTACAATAGGAAATGACAGTGTCGACTGCATGGATAGGTCGATTTACGGTTGCATTATGAGGCCCTACTGATGAGCCTGTAAACGTTTTATAGCCTCCACAATACTTCCTACTCCACAAGGATATATCACGTTCAGGTAGAATAAAACCGTCGGGGCTGATGTGTAACGTTACTGGGAATTACTGACACGTTGTATAACGTGCACACTTGAGAGGGGCAACATATAACAAAACGTAACATCTGGCTGTAAGAAAACAGATGGAGTGAAAAGGGTGGCCATGACTCGTCCTGCAACGTCCATGAAGACAACAGCATCCCTTAACACAAGTCCATCAAATACCCTCAATTGGGGGATGTTTGTTTTTGTTTGTTGTTTAACGCCGCACTCAGAAATATTCCAGATATATGACGGCGGTCTGTCAATAATCGAGTCTGGACCTGACAATCCAGTGATTGACATCATGAGCATCGATCTACGCAATTGGGATACGATGACACCTATCAACCAAGTCAGCGAGCCTGACCACCAGATCCCGTTAGTCGCCTTTTACAAGCATGGGTTGCTGAAGACTAGTTCTAACCCGGATCGTCACGTTTACCTGTTCTATATTTGTGTGAGTGCCTGGTTCTGTCCGAATCAATTCTACCCCGGATCTTCACGGGTCTGAATTGGGAGAGTGTACACATGGATGTGTAATGGCAGGCAAGAAACAACGAAGCTATTATACCAGGGAGTGCATTTGGCGACCACAGGTGTGAGGGCGGACGCTCTACCACTATACCACGTTTTTCGACAAGTGGGGCAAGACGAAATGGGGTTTAACATTGCGCTGTGCGTGCGTGCGTGTGTGAGTGCGTGAGTGCGTGAGTGCGTGCGTGTCTCTCCCCGGACTGATGCCGGTTTTATAGTGCTAGCTCACTGAGATACCATGCCGCAGTTTAACATGAGTACCCCACTCAGACACAGTATACTGACTCCGAGCCGACCAGTCTTTGCTTTACCCTCCTGTTGCCGAGCGCCGGGCAGGGTAACAACATCTTTTTATGTCTTTTAGTTTGACGCGGCCGGGGATCGAACCACCGATCTTTCGCGATCCGGTCAGACGCTCTGTCCACTGGACCACGGCGGCGGTCTCGATGTAACAGTGGGTGAGTGAAAGAGTGAGTTGTTTTTTACCAGCGTGTGACGGTTTTCCAGGTACACAACGGCCGCTGTGGGTTTAAAGCCTGAAGTGATGCAGGTCTCAGACGTTTACCACTTTGGTGAAACCAATGATAATGGGTATGGTGAAATCGAGAGTTGGTTGGTTGGTGTGTTGTTTAACGCCGCACTCAGCAATATTCTAGCTATATGACGGCGGTCTATAAAATAATCGAGTCTGGACCAGACAATCCAGTGATTGATATAATGAGCATCGATCCACACAATTGGGATACGATGATATGCACCAACCAAGTCAGCGAACCTGACCACCCGATCCCGTTAGTCGCCTCTTACGACAAGCATGGGTTGCTGAAGACCAACAAACCTAGGGACATAATCGGGATGAACCGAGATTCGAACCCCACGATCATAGGTTTCTGGCGTGCCAAAGAGACGCAACTCTGCACAGCGAATTGTGGCGCCTCAGACCTCTGAGCCACACGTGGCCCCTGCTGGTGAAATACGATACAACTGGCCAAACACAGTGTTGGTCGACAGGACACGATGCAAACAAGAGAGAAAGGTAAAGGCGAGGTCAGGCACAGGCCAGTGTAAGAGACAGGCCAGCGGGATATGACACAGATCTTAGTTCTCGCTACCGCTAAACAAAGATCTGAGGACATCCCACATTAACCTTTCGGTAACCTTGACCTACCAATGAAATGAATAACGAGAAGTCTACATTAGCCCATCATTTCTTGAGCAATACGGCACTAGTTTCAAACTGGCGACTTCCATTTCAACTCTTTGAAAATATTTTGACAAAGATTACGATTCAAAAGTTTGAAAACTGAAGACAAGAACATTCCGGAATGTCTAATAGATGGCCGATGTTGTATGACAGTACTTCTCAAGGGCTATGCTAAATACCTTACGTAAAAATGTTTATCCCATTGAAGAGAGAGATTTTGACGAAATCAGTCAATACCTTGTGGTAACATATTCGGAAATATGATTAACATGATCAGAAAAAGCATTCCGACTGAGGCATTTTTTTTATCTGGTAAACGACCTTAAACGACCGGTAAACGTCGTTCTGGCGGGACCCGACATGGGATGTCCTAAGATCTTCGTTTGGCGGAGTCAGAGAACATAGGGGTGGACAGGACAGCGGGATGTGACAGGAGACAAAGGGGAGGACCGACGACAGGACAGCGGGATATGACGGGAGACATAGGAGAGAACTGACGATAGGGCAGCGGGATATGACGTGAGACATAGGAGAGAACTGACGATAGGACGGCGGGATATGACGGGAGACATAGGAGAGAACTGACGATAGGGCAGCGGGATATGACGTGAGACATAGGAGAGAACTGACGATAGGACGGCGGGATATGATGGGAGACATAGGAGAGAACTGACGATAGGGCAGCGGGATATGACGTGAGACATAGGGGAGAACTGACGATAGGACGGCGGGATATGACGTGAGACAAAGGAGAGGACCGACGATAGGACAGCGGGATATGACGTGAGACATAGGAGAGGACCGACGATAGGGCAGCGGGATATGACGTGAGACATAGGAGAGGACCGACGATAGGACAGCGGGAGACAAAGGGGAGGACCGACGATAGGGCAGCGGGATATGACGGGAGACAAAGGAGAGGACCGACGATAGGACAGCGGGATATGACGGGAGACATACGGGAGGACTGACGATAGGACAGCGGGATATGACGGGAGAAATAGGGGAGAACTGACGATATGACAGCGAGACAAGAGACTGAGGACATAAGTGAGGACTGAAGACAAGATAATATGATGTCAGAGGACAACGAGACGTGAAAAAGAGGACAGAGTAGGGTGATAAAAATGTGTTTTCCAAAACCGATTACCCTCAATTTTGCATGCCGCCGACGTGACATTGGTATTGACTTTGACAGAGCTCGGCTACCTCACTGACCGTCAACACTGTGATAACAAGTAACACTGAGGCACTACAGCAGCACATGGAACTGTCCACACGTACACCGAGAAAAACACCATGACTGGGACATGACACGCATAAGAATTATTTATTGTGCATTCATATACAAGGCTCGATCCAGGAATCGTCACACCATTTTACTGGACTGTCATTGTAAAATAAGGCACCGAACACCAGAACCGCCATAAAGTAGCAGTGCGCATGTCCATGACACATGACGTCCCAAGTGCTGCACGTGCTCAACATGTTTTCCAGGAACTTCCAGTCGCACCATGATCGGGATTTGCCGAACTTTGAACCCTATTGCAAAAAAAGAACTGGTTAGAAATTTGATACAAAACAATGTTTTACATGACCACCCCACCCGTGAATATCCGGGGTAGAAGGCATGCTTGATGTAAAAGGCGATTTTTTTATGCTTGTCGCAAAAGGCGACTAACGGGATCGGGTAGTCAAGGTCACTGACTTGGGTGATGCATGTCATTGTATCCCAATTGCGTGGATCGATGCTCATGATGTAAATCACTGGATTGTCTGGTTCAGACTCGATTATTTAGACCGCCGTCATAAAGCTGGAATATTGGTGAGTGCGGCGTTTAACAACAAACAAACAAAACAAAAACAAACATCCGGCATTTTAGTATTGCTGGTCATATGGTTAACTACATTACCGACCGAACGGCGCTTTCAACTAATCGTTTAGTTCACTATAGTTCATCAAACTTCAGATATTGTTTGATGACACTCAATTTTGTGTATTGGTGTATTTGTGGTGTGTAATTTTGAGCATACCATCGAGTGTATTGGTACATGCTTGACATTGCACGGTCGTAAAACATCAAATGACGAGCGCGTTTCCTTGACAAGGGCATCCATACCTACCGAGGCGGCGTTAACGCTGTCCAGTTTTCGGGTCTCAGGTATAACTGAGACTTTGTAGGGTTTTTTAGACCCTCGTAATTTCAAATGTAAGGACACACAATGCAAATGGGTAAAAAAAAAGCTAACCCGAGTAAGTGAGTGTATTTGGTGTGGGAAGGGTGTCTGATGGGAAGCTGATCTTTACCACTTTGGTGAAATATTAAGAACATATTAATTGCGGATGGGCCTATATTTCATGAGAAAGAAGGGGCGGTCGGGTAGCCTTGTGGTTAAAGCGTTCGCTCGTCACGCCGAAGGCTCGGTTTCGATTCCCGACATGGGTACAATGTGTGAAGCCCATTTCTGGTGTACCCCGCCGTGATATTGCTGAAATATTGCCAAAAGCGGCGTAAAACCAACCTCGCTCACACTCACTCATGAGACAAAAGCAATTTAGTTAAATAAACAAAGACCACAACACCCATTCTCTGAGGGTATTTGTAAAAGCCGGTTTTCGATTTGAACCCATCCTCGATTATCCAGTGTATAATATCTCCAGTTATATAAGAATGCATGGGATAACCAAGGATGGCCCGATGACAAACGTGAACGTTTACAGAAACAATTTTAACCGAAACGTGTATTTTCAGCCTAATAGACCTTTGATAAGATTCCTGTATAAATAGAGCGCGTTCACTGCCATCACCCTGAGATAACATCAATCTATAAAATATAAAGAATAAAATCCAAATGGAGCCCAGGACAATCCTTAATTTCAGAGTTAATGCAATCTAGACTTGGGATGGACTCCTTTTTAATTATTTTCTCTCGGGTCTGGGAGATGAATTGATTCGTTGGCAGCACCTTATATCTTTGTCACTCGTCCCGTAACTGGTACATAGATACTGATGTATCACGCAGGTGGCACACCCATTCGTATCATTATTTTATAGATTGATGTTTTTAAATAAGATAAGTTTATTTCTTGGACTAAATGTCAGTCTACAATCGAATCCAACACAAGACGTAACAGTCCTTTGGTGCCGATGATATAGTGGTTTCCAGTTCTGTACTAATGAACAACAAGTATCAGATCAATTCCATTAAACGAACAGGGCCTAGTTTCAAAAAATGATCTTGGACAAAACTGTCGCGAGTATCTGTAAAAGTATAGTGTTACGATCGACGATGCGTTACGATCGCTTTGTGAAACAGTGTTTGTTGTTTACATACTCAGCCAAATTCCAGCTACACGACGGCGACCTTGAAATAATCGAGTCTGGACCAGAGAAACCAACAACTGAGGTTAAGATCAACGTACAACGCCGTCGGTTACCATGACACACAATCAACCAAGTCCTCTAGCCTGACCCCCCAAACCACATTCCATGTGCGATAGGTTGCTGGGGACTTATTCTAACCAGGAAGACCTATGAGTACAACATACATATCCATGTAGGACGTCCTCCCGGAGAGCGGAAGGTCCGGGGTTCGATCCCCAGCAGTCATACAAAAAGACGCTAAAAGATGGTATTTGTTGTTACCCTGTCTGGCGCTCGGCGTTAAGGGGCTAAAACAAGGACTGGTCGGCTCGGAGTCAGTATACTGTGTCTGAGTGGGGTATTCATGTTAAACTGCGGCATGGTATCTCAGTGTGCTAGCACTTTAACTCGGCATCAATCCGGACTAGTAAAAGCAGCCACACACACACGTGCATTCACGTCGCTCTATGAGTGCAATAATCTTGGACGGGACGTTAAACCCAATTTCACCTCACCTCGTATACCTCACTCTTCTGATCTATGATTGCTCAAGGGAGTTCTGCTCTGATTTATTTACGAGGAAATGGTGTATAATCTTTCAACTTCAACTTTGACTGATCAAAACGTTTATTCATTAACATTTATAAGTATAAAACATTTGATTCTATTCATCCAGTTTGTTTGTTTAACGCCGCACCTAGCAATATTCTTACTATATGACGGCGGTCAGTAATTAATCAAGTCTGGACCAGACAATCCAGTGATTGATATCATGAGCATCGATTCACGCAATTTGGGCTACGATGGCATGCATCAGTTAAGTCAGCGAGCCTGGCCACCCGATCACGTCAGTCGCCCTCTACGACAAGCATAGTCGTCTTTTAAGGTAAGCATGTTGCTGAAGATCTATTCTACCCGGGTAAAATACTTCGTTGGAATCATCAATTTGACAATTCCTACTTGCACCGTCAGGAAAGGCTGGTATTGTTTATTTCATAACAAAACATACTCTGGGTCGGACATTTTTGGCCTACAGAGTTAAAAACATTTTAAAAATCCACAACACATTGTCATTATAATATAGCTAGTTACATTAATATCAGCGTTAACCTTTCAATTAATATACCTTACATAACATTTTATCAAAACCGATTCTGGTAGTTAATTCAATGAATCTTATCCTAAAACTATGTAATTTACGAATGCAAAAGGTTTTTTCACCTCTGTCGTACTGTTCATAATAATTGAAGCGCATGATTGATAAAATCTCACTCGATGAAACGGGGTTACCTCCCTTGGCTTCACGCACCAATGGCTTTACGGGTCAATCACACGAACAGTCTCTTACCCGGAAAGTAATCAAAAATGGGAGAAATAAGTTGCGAGGGATACTAACGATCGATAACTGGACTTAGGATTAAACACTGAACAACCAACACCACTTTGACCAATCACCAGCGCCGCGCCACCTAGGGGGCAAATTCGAAACAACTAACGATCCCGTTTCAAGCTATTGACTATTTCAGCTTGAAAAGATCAATGGTCGAAGCCACGTGCACTAGAATCCTACATATACACGCTATGTTCACACATAACACGCACACACGCAAAGAAAGAGTGTATAAATAAGTACTTGTACCTGCACACACACACATACACACGGAGCGTATATAAAAGTACCTACACACATATAGCAAACATCGTGTTTGTTGCAGGACGGGGTAAAACTCTTCTTGTACAGTCCAAGGGGGAGATTTACAGTACAGCCGTTCACGTCGCCACCGGTACAGACGTTGCTGACAACGTCTTCAACAACGTGCAGCACCAACAACGCCGGAATGCAGACCCCTGCCACACGCGGCATCTTCCTGTCTCATCTACACAACAACAACTCTACGCGCGTGCCTCCTCGGCTCTCGGCTCCCGGAGAACAATAACTTGCAGTTCGACCCAGTTCACGGCTGGCACAGGGGTCACCTCGCGGGGCTCGGGCTTTGGCCGATCTCGCCAGGTCAGGCTCAGCGGCCGGGCACTTGCTGAGAGCTTTATCACTACGTGAAGTGGGTGTGGTGTCAAATGATCTTTGAAGGTCGTGCATTGTGCAGCAGGGAAGGACATAATCGATGATTTGTTTTTGCGATCTTTTCGCGATGTTTGAGACGAAAAACTAGTTTTGTTGTCGGTTATGTAGTTACGTTTTCCCTTGATCGAAGGTATAAGCTCATAAACGTAAATGGACCACCATAGACTAACACTTAGTCTGTGAAAATATTTCTTTAAAATAATTGTATTTTTCTTTTTTTAAAAGAACCTTCCCTCTTCTGCTGTTTCAAGGAAACTGGACTTGGTTTAGCATGCATGCACACACACACACACACACACACACACACACACACACACATATTCAACAGTCATGGCAGGACTAAGACTACCAATAATAGTATTGATTTTACATTTCGGTTCATATTATTTATGGGCCTCAGCAGGAAGTTAATATAACCTTACATTTCAAAAGCATAACCCCAACCCCAACCCCCAAAGATAATATAAATACACATACATATTGTTGGGAAGGAATGTGGTTAAACGTCGCGTTTGATATGATTAAATATTGCACTTATATAGCGACATGCATGCACACGTGTTTGTCGTAGTCTGTCTTACAGACCCTGATACAAATATATAACAAATACAGCCCATGCAAGTCTATAATGTTTGGCAAGTCTAGATTACTGCAGTATCAGACTGCAAATGAAGAGTGTCACTGGGCTCCCTTTTATTATATTTTTATTAAGATAACTGAACAACTGTTTTTTTCTGTACGATATGTTCATTTCAGAGAGTAGATGTTGGTCTCGTGTTTGTCGCTGCTTGTATTAGTCCGGACTAACGACGGTTTTTAGCGCTAGCCCACTGAGTAACAACAAATACCATGTTTTGACGTCTTCTGGTATGACGCGGCCGGGTATCGAACACCTGACCTTCCGCTCTTCGGGTTGACACTGTATCCACTAGACCATAGTCTGTCTTACAGACCCTGATACAAATATATATCAAATACAGCCCATGCAAGTCTATAATGTTCGTCAAGTCTAGATTACTGCAGTATCTGAAAATGAAGAGAGTTACTGGGCTCCCTTTTATTATATTTTTATTAAGATAACTGAACAACTGGTTTTTTTCTGTACGATATGTTCATTTCAGAGACTAGATGTAAGTCTAACTAGACCACGGAGGCGGTCGCTGTGGGGGGAAGGTGATATCGGTCACTAAACTTGGTTTGCATTAGCACGAGCTTGTTTCATAACAATAACATACCGTTATATCATGTATATGAACATAATCGGATCACAAATATTAATCAAGTCAGAAAATGATCTGCCTCGAGCTTATTTCGAGCACTTTGATCCCTCCTTGAGCCAAGTATACGTAAAGGTCAAGGTTGGTTTGGTTGGTTGGTTGGTTTGTTGTTTTACGCCGCACTCAGCAATATTCCAGCTATAGGACGGCGGTCTGTAAATAATCGAGTCTGGACCAGACGATCCAGTGATTTATATCATGAGCATCGATCCACGCAATTGGGATCGATGACATGTATCAACCAAGTCAGCGAGCCTGACCACCCGATCCCGTTAATCGGCTTTTACGACAAGCATAGTCGCCTTTTACGGCAAGCATGGGTTGCTGAAGACCTATTCTACCCCGGATCTTCACAGGTTCATGTTTTGTAAAACTGTAAGTCCTACAACTGCGTTCCACAAACTAATCGTACAGTGAGAGGTGTTGGATGAAAAATATTGACATTAACTGGAGAGAGGGAGTTGTTTAACGCGACTGTGAACAGTATTCCAGTATTAATACGCCGTGTCAATTTGAAGTGTTGAATAAAAAATATTGACATAAACTGGAGAGAGTGAGTTGTTTACGCGACTGTGAACAGTATTCCAGTATTAATACGCCGTGTCAATTTGAAGTGGGAGGAAAGCCCAGCAAGCCGGCAAGCCTGTCGGACGCAACTCTGCATCGTCAGTTGTTGCACATGAGACGACCGTGCTCCCTTTCCCCATATATATATGATCATACGTTGAGAGTATTCATACGGCCAAGCACTTAATATGTACTTTTATATTATAAAGCGTCGAAGCGCTAAATTGCCCGTGACTAGATTCACCGAGTTCTAGGTGCCGACAGCTGGTTGACTTATCAATGGTCGATCAGGTCATCGATGGGTCAGCTGTGGTCACGCATGCCAAACACTTAGATATACGTGTTTACACGTGGCGTTACAAACTGTACGGCCACGTGCTTTCGGTGTACACACGACGTTCGTGAACAGCGTCCTGGGAGTGTGGGTTCGAATCCCGAAAGGGTCTCAACCCCAAAAGGTTATAGAATATGTACTTAACTGAGAAAGTGTTATCCCAAATATAACATTTGTTACACATGACCACTTTCTCAAAGGCTTTGTGTATTCATATCGTACAGCGTATTGTTGAAGGGGGCACGGGTGGCCCAGTCGTCTAAGGCGCCGCGATTCGCAATGCATAGTTGCGTCCCTTGGTCACGCCAAAAACCTAAGATTGTGGGTTCGAATCCCGGTTCGCCCCGATTATGTTTCTAGGTTTGTCAGCACCATACCCATGCTCATGGGTTTCACCAAAGTGGTAAACGTCTGAGACCTGCATCACTTCGGGCTTTCCTCCCACATTAAGCTGACACGCTGTGATATAACTGGAATACTGTTAAAAGCGGCGTTAAACCCAACTCACTCACTCACGTATTGTTGAAGAGAGGTACAACATGGCGTCTTGTCCAGTCGAGACAGGAACGACGGTTTATTCCAAAGTGTGTCCCTTCCCAGTGTGACCACCGTGTTTAAATTGTTACGGCGAAAATTCCCACTCTCCATTTATCTATTCCCACTGTGACCACACATCGTTAATTGGGATCTTTACCTTTAAAAAATGAAACAAAACAAAGTATTCACATTATGCATTTATTTACCGTTAGCGCTGAACGGGTTTTCTACAGCTCCACGGCACTGCGCTGTTCTTGTTGTCCTTCCGTTTCCATCAAGCAGGATGTCTCTCTCACCCGTGATGTTTACCGGCTACAATGTCACCTCGAGCATCCAAAGTGAACTGTAAACCAGTGGTGATGAGGATGAGGAAGAGTTGGGGATTTTACGTGCGCTTTCCGACTTAATGCGTTAACATGTCGCACATGGGAGACCATGCAGTGGACATGCATGGTGCATTTATTACAGACTAATTTCCTGCTCAAAAAAAAAAAAAAAAAAAAATCTTAATCTTAATTTCTTTAATTTACTGCTCACATGTGCAGAGTAGATTCTACAAACCGCAATACTTTAAAATGTTTTAAAAACATCTCTGATCAGGACAGAATTTGTCTTTATCAGTACAGTGTTAGTTGCTAATCCCCCCTTACTCAATTACTTAATTAATTGCGATCAGTGTGGCCACTGTGACTTCCTCCCATTGCTAGTGTGAACACTGTGCTCAGTGAGGCTCAGGCAGATCGGTGGCCACACTGGGAGGTTACCGAAACGACGGATTGAGTGAGTGAGTTGGGTTGAATGCCTCCTTGAGAACAGCGGAAGATGGTCACCCATTATCTCCCCATCCCCTTGTGGTGGCGTAGGCGACGGTTGCAAACTTGAGGTTGTAGCATGAGTGTAAAATGAGTTCTAAAATGGCGGGCAAAAGAAAGTATACACTTGAAAACTGGATGTCTTTCTCTGCCTGGCAGTTAAGTTGTAGTAGTATAGTGGTAGTTTGTTTGTTTGTTTGTTGTTTAACGCCGAAATCAGAAATATTCCATCTATATGACGGCGGTCTGTAAATAATCGAGTCTGGACCAGACAATCCAGTGATTGACACCATGAGCATCGATCTACGGAATTGGGATACGATGACACGCATCAACCAAGTCAGCGAGCCTGACCACCCGATCCCGTAGTAGTAGTAGTAGTAGTAGTAGTAGTAGTAGTAGTAGTAGTAGTGGTGTAGCACTAATAGTGGCAGTAGTAGTAGTAGCAGTTGTTGTTAACACGCTTTAATTCACACAATGCAAGGTCGAGTTCGTTCGTTATAACACACAACAAAAAACATGTCTTGGACTCGCATCAAAGTTACATGAAAACACACAGAAGTGGGAATATTTTAATCATGCACATGAACAAGCAATTCATTATATTATAGTTGTAACGTGCACTTTGTCTACTGCGGACACTACAGTGTGCGCTGCACGTGCAGACAGTGCAAAACATGACATTTATCTGTGATTCAGGCAGGTCGTGACAGGACATCCTCGTACACCCCGAAATTTAACCCACCATCTTCAGCTATATTTAAGATAGCTTCGCGATAAATCGAAAAAAACAATGAAGAACGAAGCGTGGTTTATTTCACGGTAAAACATTGTTCTATCATGACGTCATTTCTAGAGATTCGAACATGCGCTCGCAAGTTGATGAGGTCGTATATATGATGACCTTATTTTTTAGAGGGAAGCGTCTATTGAGTTGTTCCCTGTAGATGTTGTTGGATAGCGCTGATGAACGCAATGGCCGAACGATTACACCCAAACGTGGGAGAGATACGACAATCAGTATTGAGTGAGTGAGAGAGTTGGGTTTAACGCCGCTTTTAACAGTATTCCAGTTATATCGCGGCGTGTCAGCTGAATGTGGGAGGAAAGCCCGAAGTGATGCAGGTCTCAGACGTTTACCACTTCGGTGAAACCCACGAGCACGGGTAAGGTGCTGACAAACCTAGAAACATAATCGGGGCGAACCGGGATTCGAACCCACAATCATAGGTTTCTGGCGTGCCCAAGGGACGCAACTCTGCACAGCGAATCGCGGCGCCTTAGACGACTGGGCCACCCGTGCCCCCTCACAATCAGTATTGGGAGAAATGGTGCAGATAATCCAGATAATCCTGGTTCCGGCGAGTGGGAAGGCTGCCAGTGTTCAGACTATGAACGCTCAGTTTACATCGTATTAACGACAGGATTTCGTGATATCGTGCAGAATAGCCTTTTTGTATCGGCTCTAAACTGTTTTAATGTCACGCCATGTGAGGGTTGGCACAGAGTTCGTGCAGGGAGTAAGATTAATTTGACATCCGTGAGAAAAACAGGCCTCATTTCATTAGGTGACAAAAGACCCGTGAAGAACCGGGTTAGGATAGGTCTTTAAAAACCCATGCTTGCCGTAAAAGGCGACTACGCTTGTCGTAAGAGGCGACTAAAGGGATCGGATGGTCAGGCTCGCTGACTTGGTTAATGCATATCATCGTATCCCAATTGCTTTAGATCGATGCTCATGATGTCAATCATTGGATTGTCCTGCTCCAGACTAGATTATTTTTACGACCAGCGTTACAACTAGGATATTTCTGAGTGCGGCGTTAAACAACAAACAAACAAAAACAAAAGGCTGACATAAAATACACACTAGAAAAAAAAAGTACTCACGGATATGAAAAAAAAACTGTTTTTTCGACCTCAGATTTTATATAAATGCAGTTAATATACAAAATATATAAATATTCAAACAACTCAATTAGTACTAATGAGGCCTTGGCACAAATACAGCGTATCAAAGGTTTTTATGTCTTTTTACACGTAAAAGTGTGTAAAAATATGAACAAAACAGACTATTGTGAAACTGAGCATAACCAGGTGTTAGTAGATCAAGGTGAAAGTCCATGACCTATGACACTTTGACGACAGGTGAAAACAGGTTCTTGAAACCCACGTGCATGTCATTTGTCAGTGGTTAGTGATTTGTGAGTGGCATTGTGGGATAGTGAATCATCGTCAAAATATCAGAACGTAAAAGTAACATATTCCCTTCTCAAACAACAACTTACATGTCATTATTATTATGTACATAAACATAGCTGTTATTTTTATTGTTGTTTTGATGACTTTTTTCCAGGCTAATTTGCATAATGCCTATAGCCTGTTTCTGCCATGTCAATTTGGACTTAGTTTTATTTTTGAATATTGAAAGTGCCTACAAATTACCTCCTGTAAAGTACATTTTGTATTGAGCACTGAGATAAAACTAGCAAATCCAGACTGGTACTTTTCCAGTTGTTTTGTTATTTCGTATTTACATCTACGTAATGCTTTGTGTCGATTATTAAATCCAGCAAAACAGTGTTTTTTTTCATTTCCATGAGTACTTTAGTCACGGCTACACGGCACAAGGGCCGTGTTTACAAACCTGTCATGTACTGACGAAGTTAGCCTCTGGGCTGCATTTAACTTATACCTTCTTTGCGAATTGTACACTAATCTCAGATCTCCTGCCCAGGAATGTTTCAAAACCGCTTGTTCTTTAAGGGAGGTGGGCTCGGTACAATTGTCCTAACAAGTTTGACTCTTGTCACCTAAACCCCACTTAGAGAAACTATCAGGGCGAATTTGAACCCACAATCACGGGCTTCTGGACCACCTAAGGGACGCAACTCTGCGCAGCAACTCCGGCGCCTTTGACGACTTTGCCTCTGAAACTTGAGGACCGCATGAAGACTTTACCGACTTGGCCGGAAGAGAGATCTGCATGTTACTTGACAGTGTACACTAAGCTGATCTCATTCCTGTACAGCACAATTGTGTAGGACTGCCTGGAGCGGTTTCCCTACGTCCATCATCACAAGATGGAGCTCTACTCAGAAGATCAACTCCCTGATTTAGACTCTCACGTTTCTCCGAACAGATGGCATGAATGGATCATTTCCCGGCCGTATAGATTTAACGCGGACCGCGATACCTCTGTTATACTGATGAGTTTGGATTACTAGTGTAAATGAATTCACTTGCTGTCAAGGTTGGTTGTTTGCTCTCCCAGTGGTTAAGTCAGAACGTAATGAGAGTTTTATGAAATAATTCTGGCATTCACGCCATACGCTGGACTGAATGTCTGCCGAATGTTTGGCCGTCGTTTTTCGAAAGCCAAAGTAAGAATGTTCATGACTCGTCTTCAGAATAACAGGTTCCTGTCTCTTAGCATGGTGACCGCCCCCTTGCCGATGTAGATGCCCTCGTGTGTTTTGTCCATGGAAAACTTCCTTAGTCTGAAATACGTGTAATCACAGTCGTCACAATATTTAACAAATTTCTATTTGAGATTTCATTGTGTTGATCTTAAGGACCAGTCATTTATGATAGTGGTGTGTGGTCAGAGAGAAATAATGTGAGGTGAGGTGAAATGGGGTTTATTGCACTTATACAGCGACGTGCATGCGCGCGTGCGTGCGTGCGTGTGTGCGTGCGTGCGTGCGTGCGTGCGTGTGTTTTTGGCTGCTTGTACTAGTCCGGACTGATGCCGATTTATAGTGCTAGCACTCACTCTATGCCGCAGTTCAACATGAATACCCCACTCAGACACAGTATACTGACTCCGAGCCGACCAGTCCTTGTTTTAGTTCCTTAATACCGAGCGCCAGACAGGGTAACAACAAGTACCATCTTTTAAGTCTTTTGGTATGACGCGGCCGGGGATCGAATCCCGGACCTTCTGCTCTCCGGGCGGACGCTCTACCACCAGACCACGGTGGCGGTCCCAGAGAGAAATAAATTAAAATAATACACATATTAGTGGAGGATCCTGTAGAAATGGACATTTTGAAACTAAACTATAAAGTACTTTAGCATTTTGTCTTTTCAGACAGGGTCATTAAAAAAATGTTCAAGGAATAGGGAAGGGTCATTATTATTTTTTACATTAGTGCATGAAACGTCTGACACCCTTTCTCATACAATACCACCCCCACCCCTATGATATTGTACGGCAGCTGCACTCAATATGGCATTGTTTATTTATAATATCTGTAATAAATGTATATAAATGTATCTCTCTCGCTCTCTCACCTACTCACGTTTGGCGTCTGCTCATCTCAACTCCGACTTGGCGCTTCCGGGTGAGCATGCGCATGACATACATCCGGAACTCTGAGTTGAAGACCGAGTAGATGATGGGGTTGAGCATACACGAGGACTTGCAGAACATCGTGGGGAGCGTGGTGTACGCCGTTGGGATCTTCACCCCGTAGATGATGAGGAGAGACAGCAAAGCATATGGGAACCAAATGATTGCGAATGATACAACCATTGCCATGGATATCTGAAGCAGATCACGCATCACCTCAGAACTGTATTTGTTTGTTTGTTGTTTAACGCCGCGCTCAGCAATGTGTCAGCTATATGACGGCGGTCTGTGAATTATCAAGTCTGGATCAGACAGTTCAGTGATTGATATCATGAGAATCGATTTACTCAATTTGGATACGGTGCATGACATGCATCAAATCAGCGAGCCTGACCATCCGATCCCGTTAGTCGCCTCTTACAATGGGTTGCTAAAAACCACAACTTTAAGAGAGTACAAATGCCGTTTCAAATCGACTTTTGATTTCCATCATATCAACGTACGTATGTGATTAAACTAACGAACTGTCAGTATTTACTTTGCATACCTTCCGGAGCAGACGAAGATGACGTTTTAGACATAATCTTTTAAGTATAAAATATCAAGTTTACCCATATATTAAATCGTAAACCTCTTATATTAAGTCATGGGCTCCAGATATAAAGTCATGGCTTCGAGATATTAAGTCGCGTCCTTTAGATATTAAGTCAAGCCCTCCAGATATTAAACCATGGCCTCCAGATTAAGTCGTAACCAACAGATACATAGTCATAACCCCACATACTAAGTCGCTTCTTCCAAATGTTAAGTCATGACCACTAGATACGAAGTCGTGTCCTCCAGATATTAAGTCATGGCCTCTAGATATTAAATCATGGCCTCCGGATATAAGTCATGGCCTCCAGATATTGAATAATGGCCTCCAGATATTATGTCATTGCCACCATTTATTAAGTCTTTACCCACAGGTATTAATTTGTTACCGACATATATTAAGTTAAGGCCTCCAGATATCGTGACAGCGTTATGGCCTCCAGATATTCGGTCATGGCCACGAGCATCGTCCCAAGCTCGGTTCGACAAGGGTGGAAACTGACTTCTACAGCCTCGGGAAGATGGGCCAAGAGTTAAAACCCCTAAATTTTCTTTTCACCGCGTCCCTTTCACGTTGCTTTAAACACGTGAAGATGGTTATATGTTGGTAGTCAGTTATAATTTCTCAGCCTTACCAGTGTGACCTTGGCCTCCTTTGACATCCACCTGACCTCAAGCGCCTCGTTGATGTTCAAGGGATGACCCCGACTGGCGTTTATCTTGCGAGTCAGCTCGCTCGTCTTCGCCACGACCCTTTGGTAGCAGAATCCGATGATGGAGATGTTGGTGATGTAGCAGAAGAGGATGAGGCAGTGAGTGTAGAAGATGCCAGGGCAGGATCTAAGGGTCCAGTTGACACTACATGAGGTACCGAAGGGTTCAAATACATATGAGCTGAAGCCAACCAGAGGGGGAGATGTCCAAAACAGCGAATATGCCCACAGAAAGATGATGACCTTCTTTGTCAGCTCGATGTTCAAGCGCCATTCTGGTGAATTAGAAAATTGGTTGAGAACATTTTCCAGTGTTCTATGTTACTGTTGTTATAACGTGTCTCGATCCTGCTGAACACAAGTTGCAGTATGCTTGTTTGTTTGTTTGTTTGTTGTTTAACGCCGTACTCTGAAATATTCCAGCTATATGACGGCGGTCTGTAAATAATCGTGTTTGGACCAGACAATCCAGTGATTGACACCATGAGCATCGATCCACGCAATTGGGATACGATGGCATGCATCAAACAAGTCAGCGAGCCTGACCACCCGATCCCGTTAGTCGCGTTTCACGATAAGCATAGTCGCCTTTTACGGCAAGCATGGGTTGCTGAAGACCTATTCTACCCCGGGTCTTGAACGTTTTGACAAGTTCTCGATTAAAAATGTGAAATGTCTAAATTATAGTCCAGATTGGATGGTAGTACTTGTTAACGGCTGTGCAACGTCTTTTCCGTTCAAATGTTTATCCCATGGAAGTGAGAGAAAAACGATGATTTTGACGGAATCAGTCGTACAGGTCGTAACTGTCGTTCGGAATACCCCGTGTTAACCTTTTCGGGGTTGCATGATTAGAAAACACATTCCGACTGTTACTTTCCTGATTGATAAGCGACACTCTGATTGGTTGGATGAAAGGTCCTTCTGGATGAGTGAGTGAGTATGGTTTTACGCCGCTTTCCGCAATATTCCGGCAATATCACGGCGGGGAACACCAGAAATGGGCAAGGCTACCCGACCGTCCCTCACCCGTAATGGAATGTCCTTAGATCTTTGTTCAGCGGGAGCGAGAACTAAGATCTGATTTTAATGAGATTGGAAAGTTGAATAGTGAAACCTCAGCATTGGAGCAGAAATGATACTTATTTGCTGGTAAACGCCTAATGTTATAAGCATCTGAAGATATACGTTATGCTGTGTCTTAGATTCAGTCTTAGATTCAGCTGCAAGGAGGAAGGTCCCTGATCTCCAGAGTATATCATTTCTGGTAACAAAATACTTCCTGTTATACTGACAACTGTTTTTCAATTGTAATTGTAGGGAAGCCCTTAAGGGACATATGGGTTTTTTGTTTATTGAAATTTCAAGATACTAACTTGAAATTTCAAGATACATAAGTTGAAAATTTAAGATACATACTTAGTTGAAATTTCAAGATAATGGTCTTGAAATTTCAAGATAATAAGTTTGAAATTTCAACTTATGTATCTTAGAATTTCAACATATCATCTTGAAATTTCAACTTAGGATCTTAAAATTTCAACACATTCAACTTGGTTACTTGAAATTTCAAGTTATTATCTTGACATTTCAAGTTAAAATCTTAAAATTTCGACTTATTATCTTGAAGTTTCAAGTTAAAATCTTATAATTTCGACTCATTATCTTGAAATTTCAAGAAGAAAATCAATGGCCCTAAAAGGCTTCCGTAGAATTTCTCTACTATAACATAAAAATACACAAGGGGGCGGTCGGGTAGTCCAGTGGATAAACCGTTCATTCCTCACGCCGAAGGCCTGGGGGTCGATTTCCGACATAGGTTGAATGTGTGAGGCACATTTATGGTGTCCCCCGCCATGATATTGCTGGAATATTGTTAAAAGCGGCGTAAAACCAAACTCACTCACTCACTCACTCCTAAAACCGACATGCAACCAACTCCGGTCAAGTAAAAATTCTATGCACTACAAGTACTAATAATAGTGAAAATCAGAATAATACTCAAGATTTCCACATCTAACTCATTTCATTGGACATGTTCAGTGGTGTGTTTACGACGAAGACTGGAAAGAACAGACAGGGTACATTAAATTAACTCACTGAGATGTGGCCGGCATATGGTGATATACCTGTAGACACTCAGGCAGGTCATGGTTTTCATGGCGCACAGAGCCAAGGTGAAGGTCAAGAAGCCCTGGAGGACACATCCGACCTCTCCAAACAGGAAGCGGTTGGCGAAGCAAGACGCTGTCGTGAGGGGGTAACCGACGACGGAGATCCCCAGGTCGGACATCGACAGGTTCAAGATGAGGAGGTTCTGGGGGTTGGTCCGCATCTTCTTGAACTTGTACATTACGTGAATGACCATGGAGTTGCCCACTGTAGCTATTATACCTGGAACATGAACCTCAACCCTGTACGTACCGCATTTCTTCAACATGGAATCGACGCCTCCGTTGTCTAGTGGTAGAGCGTCCGCCCGGAGAGCGGAAAGTCGGCGTTTGAGAGCACTTTAGCATCGGTATTTGTCCGGACTAATACAAGCACACACGCGCACGCACGCACGCACGCGTCGCTATATGAGTGCAACAATCTAGAACGCAACGTTAAACCCCTTTCACCTAAACATGGTATCGTCAGCGGGTTTGTTGAAAACACAACGCGTCCCATCACACTTGAATACATACCGACGCCTTGCCGCTTTTAAGCATGTCACACCTTGGTTAGACTAACATTTCGTCACAGAAATACAGTTATCACATATAAACATATTTATTATATACTTCAGTGTGAAAGACTGAGTTTTATGAAGTTGAGAGAAGTGATTCCATTCCAGTGAACATAACATTTGATATTTCACTGGAGTGAACATGACACTGTGACGGAATTATTGTCATACAAGAGTTACCTCCCCTCAAATTGTCTCCCTTTATCGAAAGTTTCTTGCCCGTATATGAACTGTTGACGTCCCTTGTACGCTAGGTCCACAATGACAAGGCAAAATAATGACATATGGTCATTTATGGAGTTTAGCTTCTTGCCATTTGTCATTCTCTCGAAAATGTTTTGTAATAAACTGTAAATTTCTCATTTAACTCGTCAATTAAGACTTCAAAGAGCAGTCTCGTAGTTTTCAAGAATATTTTTTGTCAACGTTGATTTTGTATATAATCATATCTAAGTGTATGATAAAGACTTTTCGTGACCCTTAATATTTTTTGTTCCTTATGTTTATATTTTTTATGATTTTTCAAACACGAAATTTCTCCTTTAGTCGCAAATACAAGGGGTGGTGATCCGTCACTGTGTGTTAGTTGGGCAGAATTTACGTTTCGAGGTTTTACAATTGTAATTAAATAATTCAATCTTTCGGTAGACAACTACACAAAATGAATATATTGAATAGGGTACTCCATGCGTCTCGTGTAATATAATGTTTCTCTCATCTCGTGAAGGAGGAAAAGGAGATATTTTTACAATGATTAATTTCAAGCCGAGGCTATCTAGACTTGCCAAATCATTCTAGACTTGAGTTGCACTCCTTTTTAATATATTCTCTTGGGTCTGGGATCAGCGACTGAAGAACCGTTGATTGCTCTGACCAATGGACGTTCGTGTTACATTGCACAAGAAGCAATATTTCTACTGTCAATATTGTGTCAGTAGCCACATTGCCCACTTGCATATATTGATCTTAGCTCTACGACTATGGTACGAGTAAGACCACGTCAAACAATGGGAGTTACAACAGTCGTATAGCATTAACACTGCTTGGTCCAGGTGGGAATAAGAAAAGAGCAAGAGCTCTGACCTATCACAGCTATGGCATTATTTCAACCATATAGCCATGAGACCAAGTTGACACTTGTAAGTCATGAATGAAAAATTATATTTGATTTTTTTTTTATATCAAACATATTTGGGCATAACATTATAATTTATACAGTCTAAAACACGGGCTATTGTCCGTCAGTAACTAAGCACTGGTTGATGACACACACACACAGACAGACACAGACAGACACACAGACAGACACAGAGACAGACACACAGACACACACACACACACACACACACACACACACACACACACCGAATTTATAGCGCTAGCCCACTGAGATACCATGCCCACTATGGACACAAAGCATAATCATGCCTCTTACCAACAATGAGTAGATACATTCCACATGCGAAAGAACCCGTCTCGGAGAGTGGTTGTATGTTGTACTTCTTAATTAGTCTCTGCCACTCATCATCGGCAATGGAGGTGTTGTTGCTGTCGACGTCGGTGACGTTTGCCGCTGTATCATTGTCCGACGTCAACGCGAAACAAGTTAATCCAGTCATTGCAGCAGTTCAGCTCCTGTCCTGTATCGAGGGAACAAGACTCTGTACGTCCGATACCGGAACCAGTTCATCCATGCCCATTTATCGATGACGTCTCATTTGCAGGAATCTGGAAATTACAAAATATGTATAGAAAGGCTTCATATCTCTTCTGGAGTTTATCAGGACAATGGCTTCGCGAATAAGATTTTACGTCATTTAAAAAAAAATAATCAGACTGTAACGTCCCCACACCAGAGAATTGGCTTTCACGTTTTACTGATGTGGGAGCGAACATGGGTGTTCTGCGTGACGAGCCGACGCTTTAAGTAGCATCCCCCATCCCCCATCCCCCATCGCACGGGTATATATAAGAACGCGTCCAGGTACTGTGACTATTCCCATGTGACGTCACCGCGTGGTGAAGCCCGAGCAAAACAGGTCTCGAGTAACCCGTGTTTGTCTCGTGCCGACGAGAATGAGGAACGGGATCTGTCAGTGCGTGACCTTGGGTAATTCCGTGTTAGCCATACCTTATATAAATAACAGCGACAAAACCACATCCACAACCATTAGAAATATCTGCTCAAAACAATCCATTGTACGATTCCGACTCATAAGCATGTGTTTATGAATCACTATCAAATAGTGATGACACCAGGTGTTCGCGAAAAGATGAGGGTGTCCTGCCCACCAGTGGCACATCACAAACACATGCAAAGGCAAGTCAATGTCAAAGGCGTAAACGTTGTTCGTGCTATTTGATAAAGGGATGCCAGGACAAGATTCGATTATTTAAACGACGCCGTGATCTGGCTAGTATTTACTGAACGCAGCACAAAACAACATCCCTCCCCTTCACATTTTGAGAAAGGTACATACTTCCTATATCAAAACGTTCAGGTTTCCTGATCAACATACCTTCTCAATCAGCATCAGCTGATTAAAAACACAACGTGAACTACACACCCTTATGTCAAAAGCATGCATACGTTGTAGGCTCTGAAGGTTCAACACAGTACTTAATGCATGGCAAGCAAATGTCAGTCACACCATCACTGGCGCTCACTGTGTAGCAATGTCCATACTTCCTCGAGAAACGTATGATCGTGAATGATCCAAGATGCAACCGTTACTTCATCCCACGTTCAGAGACAGGCGTGTGATGACTTCAGACTTCTCCGCATCCTAATTGGCAAATGTAACCAGACACGTGGATCTGCTGCAAACGAGATCACATCGTGGCTTAAAAGCATATTAAATATGACATTTTAGGCAGAAAAGGACCCGCGGAGAGATCAGAGAATCAGATGAGATTAGTCATCCTGGGTTTAAACCTTCCTAATGTCAATGGTTCAAATTAGAGCTTAATTATTTCTATCCAGTTGTAATTCTTCATATATTGATTGAAGGAGGTATGCGATCAAATAGAACGCTCTTAATGAAACATTTTTATATTATCTTTCATGTGTCATTTTGCGTAACATGTCGTGATGTTCAGATAAACATGTAAAGGTTGGTGGGGTTTCGTACAAATTTTCCAGATAAATGTTTCTTTGCTTCCTTTGATGAATACAACACTTAATTGTCTTTCTACCTTTCAATTTTACTGAGCTAATTTATCATTCAAATCACCATGACACAGTTGCAATAAACGCACGACGCTAAATATGTCCTTTCGCTCACTCAATGCGTTCTACGTTTGTTCAAATGTGTTTCCAAACTTATTTCCATATTTCCATTTATAAAATAATGTATCAACATACTGACCCAAGCACATGTGACAGTTAATACTGTCATTATCTAATCACATCAACTTTGACACTTTATTGACCTGTGATGCTTTGGGCATCGCCAACCCAGGTCTCCGACAACCTTTAATCAAGCACACAACAGACTAAGCCTAAATCGTTACCAAGGGCCTATAAGTAGCTCAACACTGAAGTCATGTAGGTACCGAGTACTACATGCGCTATTCGTCTCGTGTTGATAGGCGGACTTACATCATCAATAGCTCACGCGTTTATATAAACTACGGGTGAATACGTCATCAATAACTCACGCGTTTATATACGCTACCCGTGAATACATCCTCAATAACTCACGAGTTTATATACGCTACCCGTGAATACATCCTCAATAACTCACGCGTTTATATACGCTACCCGTGAATACGTCATCAATAAATCACGCGTTTATATAAACTACGGGTGAATACGTCATCAATAACTCACGCGTTTATATGCACTACCTGTGAATGCATTATCAATAACTCACGCGTTTATATACACTACCTGTGAATACATTATCAATAACTCACGCGTTTATATACACTACCTGTGAATACATTATCAATAACTCACGCGTTTATATACACTACCCGTGAATGCATTATCAATAACTCACGCGTTTATATAAACTACCTGTGAATAAACCATCCAATTCAGTTCCAATTCTTTATTCTAATGGAACCATACGCGGTGGTACAAAAGCGTATTTTTCAAACAAATATTGTTCAACAAAAGTGATCATTCAGACAGGAAGAGTACATTATAGTATTATTTCTAAAGTATTCGTAGACATTGGAAATAAACTTTGACAAATTCTTCATTTCTGCATGTCTCGTTGTACAAAGTAGCTGTTTGAGTTTATAAAGATTACGCCATAAATAACATTTTTCTGGTATATATCGAATTGTGTCGAAAGCTTGACATTTAATCAAATGGTTTGAACTTGTCTGCAATAGCTGCCGAGTAACAGAGTACAGTCTCTACAGGCAGATTTTGGTTACAGGTTCTAAACGTTAGAAGCGGGAAAGAAATTGTTCTTGGAGGGATAAGATATTTTTTTCAAAGGATGGTACAGATTTAAGCAACTTATAGTAAGTTCCTTTAGAACTATTGCTCCCATAGTACTCCACCATGAATGTGTAAATTGATCTTTTAACGTTAACTCTACCTTAGAGACTAGCCACTTGCTTTTGTACATATGTGTTATTGAACACATGTCATATGAAACATTATCAAGAACCTTCTTGACATTTTTCAACCAGATATTATCTCTTGGATTTACAGAGTTATTTATTTTGATAAAACTAAGAACATATTGGGATAATTTTGTAGAGTTCACGAATTTCCAGTTTGTGCCCAAATTTCATTACTATTTTAGATATGGTTATTTGAAGAGGAAAACGACCCAGTTTTCCATATACCATGTAGTTTACGGTTGATGCCCGGAGACCTGATGCCCCTTTAAAACATTATAGATGTACCTTTTGATTTAAACAATATTTATTTCCACAATATAAAGGAATGCAATTGGTGTGCAGGCAAAGCCAATTTAAACATCTGTGTGTGTGTCTCTCTCCCTCTCTCTCGTTGAGATACAGTAACGGCTCTCGTCTGAGAAGAGGACTCTTCTCCACTGCTGGTGGCGCCAATGCTGGTGCTGTGTTGCCCACTGAAGACGGCCCCGGCGATGACGTGGTGTCAGAATGGGTCCTCGATGTGGCCTAGCTGTGACAGTGGAGGTGTCTGCTCGTCAACCGTCAATGCACGGTGTCCGCACTAATGTGTCGCTGGTGTGTCCCCATGGTCTGTCGAGCAGTTCCCGCAGCAGTAACAAAGCCATCTTGAAGATGCTGTCGCACAATCTGACGATCCTGACGTCGGGTGGTGACCCTTGGTCTTCCACTACGTGGTCGGTCATCTGTAGTTGATGCTGGTCTGGTAAAGTTGCTGGATCCTGTATATGGCTTGATTTGAAATGTATTGGCTACTTACCGGGCGATTTGTCCAACTTGCAATCGTCCAAGGACTTGGTGTCGCTGATTTCTTGTCAATCTTGGCATGTGGTAGAAATTCAATAACGAATGATTGTTATCCGATCTGGGTGGATTTTTATAGGGCAAGAAATGGGGGAACGCATGTGCATTTCAATTTGCACGGAACTCGTGCATCGGGTTACCATGGCCGTTGCCGTGATGCGTTTGGGCGATCGGTTTTATTGTCACCTGCCTTGTTTTTTTATCATCAAATTTCATTTTTCCGGACAAGGTAATGTTAAAGTTTAGAAACTTTGACAAAAAATACCCAGATATTTAAATGACAACTTTTCATGCAATGTTACTTGGGGTGACGTTTCTTTTGCTGTTCAGTATATTTGTCAGCGACGACCTAACCAAACCAAGAGCAAAGATCGCACAAGGAGATGATGTTGGGCACGTGGGTAGACGATGGCGTTATCTTCATCAAGGAACAAGATGGAAAAGTTCTAAGGATCACAAAAGAACGTCAGCTCGAGTAGTATGAGGAGAAACGTAGGCTAACAATGAAAACCAGGCTGTCTCAGAAAGGAAATGCGTTCACGTTGGCTATGGGTGAGGATGTTTCAAGGGACTAACTTGTAGTTATTTACTGATGTTCTGAATTGAAACAACTCAGGATATATGTATCTGTGTCCCTATACGTGAACCAGAAAAGTACGAACTGATTATACCAAAACTGTACGACAAAGCTTCTTTGTGTATTTCAGGAACCTGTGATGGTAGTCGTGTATTTCAAGGATTATCACCGGGGTTATTGATTTTCTGTCTTAATGATAATAACAATTTGCTCTGCAGCTAGTGTGTGCCTCGTGGGGACACTAAAGGAGTAGACTGCTGTCTATCCCATGGCTGAATGATATCTCTTTTGTTTATCATTCATATATGTGTAATTGTATTAACAAGTGGGGTCACCCTGCTGTAGTACATTGTGCAGTCATTGGAATATAATACAGAACGCTGAAGTAACCACGAAGTAACACATTAATGCCATCCCGCGTGGGACTATACTCATATAACGTATTGTTTAATATTTGCCTACCTTGATATGCATTCATAGAAATGTTGTATATTATACTTCTGTTCTATTTATGGGTTGCTTCAGGTGTAAATATTTATGTTTAAAGTATATTCAGTTATGAAAGTTAGTCCACTACCATCAAGAAGGTTTTACTTGAGTAACTATCATCATGAGTGAGTGAGTATGGTTTTACGCCGCTCTTAGCAATATCCCAGCAATAGTGAGTGAGGGAGTATGGTTTTACGCCGCTTTTAGCAATATCCCAGCAATATCACGGCGGGGACACCAGACATTGTACCCGTGACGGGACTCGAACCCGGGTCTTCGGTGTGACGAGCGAACGCTTTAACCACTAGACTACCCGATAAACTATGTTTATAACAAACACGCTTATAACGAACACGCTTATATAATTAAATTTCCGTTGTGATCATTGAAATCCCTGCTTTCTGATTAGCTGAATTGGTCACGTGTTATTGCATTTATTTCCCAATGAATGTAAAAAATGAAGCCACGCCCACCGAGGCGGACTACTTTTATTACTACGGAATGTCGGCGAATCCCAATATTACAGTCGAGGGAATCCCCTTTCTGTTCACGTGTATCGTCATACACAGGACATTTAGCGACTTTCATGCATATTCATTGTCCAAATAGCTCAAACAGTGCGTGCGTGCGTGCGTGCGTGCGCGCGCGCGCGCGCGTGTGTGTGTGTGTGTGTGTGTGTGTGCATAAATACCATTTACATATGTTTTTAACCGTCTACCTGCTAAAAGAGTTGATGGTCTAGTACAGTTTGGATACAAGTTAAAATGAAAAATGAAAACGTCCTCATAGGTACCATGTACAGTGAAGAGAGAAGCATACATTGTTGCAATATGATAGAAGAATCTGTTGGTAGATGCTGTCGATGTTAATATAATCACGATAATTACAGGTGATTTTTATATTGATTATCTTGGAAATCAGAAGGCAGCTGTCTAAATTTGGAGGACAACATGGTCTAAAGCATTTAATTACGAGCCAACAAGAATCACGTCTCGTTCCAGCACATTAATTCATTTAGTTTTCACCACACACGGAAATAAATTGTGGTATTCACGATTTGGACTAATTGTTGTGTTTCACTCATGGACTTTGGGATTCATTTCTAAAGGTTAGTCTTTTGTTGATATTTTATCGTTTGTACGTATTTCTAGGATTTGTAGGTATAATGTGTATATGCTGTTAATAATTTGGCTGTTTTGTCATGTTGTAAATATTAGACAGATCATAGTAACTAGTTGTGTTTCCGTATGCATTACAAGTGTTATTATTTACGGAAGGTAAATAATTCGGTAAGCAATTAGTTCAGGGCCCACTTGCACAAAGCGATCTTAGCGCTAAGATGATCGTAACTCCCATACTTTAACATAGGCTTACAATAGTCTTAGCGCTAAGATCGCTTTGTGCAAGTGGGCCCAGGTCTAAATTACTATTATTAACCCTCTGGATGCCGAGTTTTTTTCTGACGCACATTTTCCTAAGATCGGAAAAGGGAAGGTTGTGCGAGAATTGCGCTCACGCGGCACTGGATCTACCTCTGGCTATAAAATAACGCAGAGGTGGAGAATATTAAATTTCCTATTTGATGGTGTAATGTTAACTGCAAATATTAAACCGGTTTAAAAAAAAACACTTCAAAGTGTTGTCCGCGAATTTATTCTGCGTTGAAAAACAGTAAATTTCTCCGCTATTTATCATACACCGTTAAAAGTACTGTGCGACGATTTTTTTTATTTAGAAGTTTCAGGAAAAGTCTGAGCGAACAAAATACTGCCTAATATCTGAACGACATAACTGTATATCAAATGGAGTTAGATGCGTATGTATAACGACATACATTCAATGCCAAAAATAGCATGCCGTAAATGACGAAAACTGATTTTTCTCTATGACGTCAAAAGGTGACAGAGAGGTTACACACGTACAAAGAAAAGGGGGCATAACTCCGCTATGCTTAGCTCTAGTTTGTTGTAACTCAGGTCACTTGGTGAGAATTAGCTGTGGGTAAGGACAATATATTTTCGTGGTGTTTTGTTCAGGAGGAACCAAACTATTCCAACACAAATATCGATATTTAAACTGTACACGTTTAGTTATAAAATATACCCAGAAAAAATGAAGAAATCGTACTTCATAAAAAGGAGGTAATAGAGAAATGGATGGCCCTATCTAACCTGTAACTTTGTCCTTAGATTCCAACATTCTCCTGAACGTGTAAGTGTAATTTGACTAATGTTGCACCATTATTAATGGAGCACTAGCCTTATCATTAAATGTAATGAAATACAAAAAAAATTACACCATTCTATTTGACGTAATGGCTGGTTTTATTTCTTTGATAATGTCGGAGAAAGACGATACTGGTATTTTGATTAATACAATCATATCTCCCCTAAGTTTCGTTTATGGAATAGAAAATCTAGATGTGTAAAACGGAATAAAACGCTTTTTCGACACAACATAAAATGACTGCTTTCGACAAGTAAATAATGTCTTGAACATGTAAACAATTAGATATTTATCGTGTATCTTAATTGGACAAGACACGCACCTGTTTGGCATCAACGTTCGTAATGAAACCCAAAAGAATATTTCAAAACAACCAAAATTATATTCAATATTGGACATATATTTGTTCATTATCATGTTATTATTTCTCTTCATCTCGTCTCAGAATTACACAATAAAAGATGCGATGAAAGCTCTATTGGTATAGAATTATCAGGATAGTCGTATAAGGTTGAACCAACGGGGTACATGGCATGGGTTTTATTTTTTATACATTTCACAATTCCTGGAGAAATAAAGTAAACAGTTTAATATCCTGTGATCACAATAATGAAAAAAGAATGAACCCATTGATTATATAATGCAAAACGAGAGGAATAATTTGTAAATTGTTTGTGACTAACGCTCCTGGCGAATCGTTAGATATCACTTTGTATCAAACGACAAAATTCTTTCAGAAATGTGTGCACATATTTTAACGAAAAATATTATCCATTTCTTTAAAGTAATAAATTCAGTTTGAATACGGCTACTCATGGGCATTGGCTATATGAACTTTTTTTAATATTGACTAGTACACATCCCAAGAAATACTAGTACGTACATGCTGCATTTACACTTCAAATTGTAACACTTGTTCAAAGGAAAGAAATATCGTATTCGACACTAAAAACCTATCAATTGTTGTGTAAACAATGTTCAAACAAACAGGAGATTATCAAAGTTTCGTTCATACATGTTGTGGCCTATATTTACGTATGATATCATTTTGAACATTGACAAATATCCAAAGTGCAATTAATTGTGTGAAAAAATGAATAAAAGATATGCAAAATCTACATCCCAACTGAAACTGTAAACAGCATGATACAATAATCGTGTGCACTCTCATTCAAGGATTTCCCACCTTGTGCAGTTTTTCGTTTTTGCTTGATTTCATCCAGCCACTTTGTATTGGTCATTTGATTCTAAAATGTATGAGGAATTCAAGGATGTGTGTATCGCAGCTAAGTTTGAAATATACGTGATGTTACAGGCGCCTCATAACCGGTGTACCTGAAACGTGATTTTGTAAACACTATCCAATATGGCGGAACGTTCACGTCGGCGTTCGTGTTTGCGCATTTTCCAAAACATTCTAAACGATTCTAGGGTTATCGGAGGCGATTTGGAATGATCATTGGTGATTTCATAAAAGACTGATAACCGTGATCACTAATATGCTATTTTTGAAATTCATTTATCCGAGTAAATACCTGAAATCTAGATTTCAAAACATGCTGTAAATAACGCCGTGAGTGGTGATTTAGTAATGTGTAAAAAATGGCGACATTTACGAGGTACTTAATTTTCAGAGGTCATTTTCAGTACCTTTGCTTGGCTAAAATACCAGTGGATGATATCGCTGGACAGGGAATTTCCCACCTTATTCAAAACTGCGAAGTGTATCTGTGTGGGTGATGTATTTTGAATTTTGTTCGACTTTAAAGTGAGGGTTGTAGAGGAGGTACATATCTGTTCCGTCAGCTCGCAAGGTGAAGATTTCGGTTTTCTGGGGTTCCAAAGGAAACCTACCGGTGGAGTACCCCATGAAAGGCTACAGCATTAATGACAAATATGGGATGGGGATGTTAGGTGCTTTAACATCCAAGCATATAATGATTATCATGGTAGGCAATGTGCATACACAATAATCCCCTAATAATGGGGAATAGAGGGTCTGTTCAGAGAACGTAAGATCGGTGGTTTCCGTTCCAAAGATTCCATTGCATAGGGAGCTTAAGGTGGTACTTGTTGTTACCCTCGGCATTAATGGGATAAAACGACTGGTCTGCTACATCTGCAACATGATATTTATCATCCAAAACCGGCTCCCACAGGAGATATCGCTTGGATGAGAACAAGTGATATCGACGCTGCAATGAAATTACATCACAATGAATTGAAGACCATTGTGACATCACTGGTTACCATGACGTCACAATCAAATGACATCACTAATGGCTCTGCTACTGAAGCTGTTAGCAGTACTTTTTACACTGAAGACACTGCTAATTACTGTTAACAAATTGAAAAAGCTGGAGGAATGATGTTGGATGATAAATAAAATCTCACCCTTGTGTCTTTTGATATCAAATATATCAACACTCGTTGATAAAAGTGGCAAAAATCCTCGGCAAGCCTCGGAATTTTTCCACTTTTATCAACTCATGTTGATATATTTGATATCAAAAGACACTCGGGTGAGATTCTCTTTATCTCATTGGTCTGGCACCATAAACTGTTAAACGTCCGACTAGTCAAGCAGCCACACACATTCGTGCATGATCGTCGCAAAATCAGTGAAAAGTACGTCTTATACGCGGCGTCAAATCCCGTTTCACCACACCTCAATTTGGCTTCGTGCACTTCTGGTGCATTGCGGGATTCCGAGCACAGACAACTGAACAACACGACAGCGCGTGACCGTGAAATACGACACTGCCGACATTGATCACGCAAGGTAAAAAAAAGATAGGTAGCTAGTTCGGCAACATTGCAACTGAGGTTACACAACAGATCGCTTTGAAACAACAATATGCATGAAACTGTGCAGTCACATCACATTCGGACCTGTGAAGATCCTGGGTAGAACAGGTCTTCAGCTACCCATGCTTGCCAAAAAGGGCGACAATGCTTGTCGTAAGAGGCGACGAACGGGAACGGGTGGTCAGGCTCGCTGACTTGGTTGATGCATGTCGTCGTATCCCAATTGCGTGGATCGATGCTCATGATGTCAATAACTGGATTGTCTGGTCCAGACTCGGTTATTTACAGACCGCCCTCATATAGCGGGAATTATTGCTGAGTGCGGCGTTAAAGAAGAAACAAACAAAGTCACATCACATTCGGAAACAATCAACTGGCCCGACATACGGGATCCCTAGACTTGGTATACAGTACGACGCCAGACAAGGTCAATACAATCCAGTTTGTTGACGATACGGACATGTGTAAAGCATTATGCCTGGAGGCCGTCCTCGCGGATCAGTTCTTAACAAGGCATACTATATATGTGTGAGTGTGTTAAACTTCGGCGTATCTACTATAGTCTTTACACTACCTTGGGAGTTACACACTCATTGGTGATTATATAACCCCCAGAACACCCCACCCATGAAGATCCGGGGTAGAATAGGTCTTCAGCAACCCATGCTTGCCGTAAAAGGCGACTTTGCTTGTCGTAAAAGGCGACTAACAGGATCGAGTACTCAGGCTTGGCTGATACATGTCATCGATCCCAATTGCGTTGGTCGATGCTCATGATGTCACTCACTGGATTGTCTGGTCCATGGGCGGATACAGCTTTTTTTAAAAGGGGGGGGGGGGGGGGGGGGGGTGCACAATTAAGATCTATTTATTGTCTTTGGTGGTAATTTATACAGAAATAAAGCTTTTTTTCGAAATAAAAAAGGGGGGGGGGGGGGGGGGGGGGGGGGTTGCTGGAAGATTGCTGAGTGCGGCATTAAACAACAAACAACCAACAACCGGATTCCCGGTTAGAACTGCTCCCATCAACCTTTGCTAATCTTAAGAGGTGACGGAGTGGATCGGGTGGTCACGGTCGGTGACGTGGTTGATGGCGTGGATCATTGCTCGGAATTTTGTGTGGTCCAGATTCGATTATATACATGCCGACAAATTGCTTGAAACATGTTCAAAGAGCACTGCCTACCCTACTGTAAACGATTCGGTAATTGACAACATCGTGTATACTCTGCTGCTGATGAGTGAGTGAGTGAGTTGGGGTACGCCGCTTTTGACAGTATTCCAGTTATGTCGCAGCGTGTCAGCTTAATGTGGGAGGAAAGCCCGAAGTGATGCAGGTCTCAGACGTTTACCACTTCGGTGAAACCCACGACAAAACGACAAACCTAGAAACATAATCGGGGCGAACCGGGATTCGAACCCACAATCATAGGTTTCTGGTGTGCCCAAGGGACGCAACTCTGCCTAGACGACTGGGCCACCCGTGCCCCCCTGCTGCAGATGAACCCTTACAGTGCTGATATCTTCAAGCAAAGTGGCTTGTTTCTATTTAAAGACATTCTTTATGACAATAATGTGGTGGTCTTACTTGTTTTTAAAAAAAGTGTACATTCATATTTATAGGTCCTTGAGAATAGCGTGGAATATTGGGTTCGCAGTCTCCATTTGATTGTTATAAAAGGTCAAAATATGTTTAATACTTTTTCACATTACCTTAAACTAGAAAATAAACACAATGCAGCAAATAAACAAAAAAGTTATGGAATAAATATGTATATTATGTCCTCGGATCACACCATGACGAAAAAAAGAATATTTCTGGGATATTTATAACTTTACTGACGTAATGGACACGGGGACTGTTTCCTGTCTGCCTCCATGCATCTCGTAGTATCTCGCAGTATCTCGCAGTATCCCAATAAGCTTGTCATATATGTTATGAGAACCTGAACATTTCAGTGCTCTGTAAACAGCAATGCCGGGGACCGCTGCCTGTCGCGTGACGTCGGGCCTCCTGTCTACCCTCTATGTGCTTGCTGGAACCATGAAGATGTACCCTTTCATAGGGAGCGTCCATCAAGAACTGGTGAGATGATCTACACGTGTAGGATTCCCCTACAAAATATGTCCTCATTGCCTATCTTACAATGCGAATAATGTGGGAATGAATGGCCCCAATAACTGGAGACCCGTTCCACAGAGGATCTTAGCTAGTAAAAGTGAGAGGGACGATCGCCTTAGCATTTCAGTCAGTGACTGAGTGAGTTTGATTTTACGCCGCTTTTAGCAATATTCCAGCAATATCACGACGTGGGACACCAGAAATGGGCTTCACACATTGTATCTATGTCGGGATTCGAACCAGGGACTTTAGCATGACGAGCGGACGCTTTAACGACTAGGCTACCCGACCGCCCCCTCAGCATTTAAGATGGTAAATGATTTGTAATACATGTTGTGAAAGTGCATACACACGTACTCAAGATATTGTTAGTTTAATTTACTAAGATGAACAAGGTAGGTCTTCATTGAGCATCTGGACAATCCTGTGTGGAGACCCGTGAAGATTCCGGGGTAGAATATCACGCAAGGTAAAAAAAAAGATAGGTAGCTAGTTCGGCAACATTGCAACTGAGGTTACACAACAGATCGTTTTGAAACAACAATATGCATGACACTGTGCAGTCACATCACATTCGTAACTGTGAAGATCCGGGGTAGAATAGGTCTTCAGCAACCCATGCTTGCCGTCAAAGGTGACTATGCTTGTCGTAAAAGGCGACTAACGGGATCGAGTGGTCAGGCTCGCTGACTTGGTTGATGCATGTCATCGATCTCTATTGCGTGGATCGATGCTCATGATGTCAATCACTGGATTGTCTGGCCCAGACTCGATTATTTACAGACCACCGTCATATAGCAGGAAGATTGCGGAGTGCGGTGTTAAACAACAAACAAACAAACAAAACATATAATATGTGTACGTAATCTTGTTACCCATATATAAATATTGATGATACTTCAGACTGCTGAATCCTTTGGGGGAGGGGATGGGACTCCCGGGTGCAATTGGTCCCCAGTACAACTACGTGCCTTACCAGGGGCGGTCGGGTAGCCAAGTGGTTAAAGCGTTCGCTCATCACGCCGAAGACCTGGGTTCAATGTGTGAAGCCCATTTCTGGTGTTCCCCGCCGTGATATTGCTGGAATATTGCTAAAAGCGGCGTAAATTCAATCTCACTCACTCACTCACTCACTTGCCTTACCATTATTAACATACAAGGTTATGGTTGGAAGATTCCTGCGGCGCTAGGCAACATTCACCAACTTACTCATTTTTGTCTGCAGTGAAAATGAACAAGCGCAGTGATAGTGTCACAAATGAAATTCATCTGTATTTTCCAGAGACGAGGGTTCGCCAAGTTTGCCACAGTGTTTCCTGGCAATATGATTGGACTGCGTGTTGACCCCGTGACCTACATGTACGGTGTCGGTGTTATGGAAGTCGGCCTCGGTCTGGGTATGATGTTAGGGCCACGGAAGGTCAAGGTCATAAGCATTGGAAGCTTGATGGTGATCATGGTGGGAGCGGCGTTTTCAGAGTTCAGTATTGGGATGTATACTAAAAGCCTGTTCCCGACAGGTTTGTGTTTCGCTCTCGGCTATGTCCTCAACAGCTGCTGGATAGATGAACAGAAGAAGAAGCGGTGAAACTAACGACATTTTCAAACTTTACATCATGTTAATATTATGATCGTTTAGAAAGTATAAAACGGAAATGCTGTACTATGAGCTGTGTTTCACACGTGAAAGGTTGGGCGGGGGGGGGGGGGGGGGGGGGGGGGGGATGATGTATGGCTGCTTGTATTTGTCCGGACTGGTGCCGATTTTTTTTTGTGCTGGCTAACTGACATACCATGCCGCAGTTTAACATAAATACCTGACCACCCGATCCCGTTATACGCCGCTTACCTCAAGTATGGTCGCCTTTAACGGCAAGCATGGGTTGCTGAAGACCTATTCTACCTCGGATCTTCACGGGTCTCCAGGGTATTTAATCCTTTTGAGAGTCATTTCCTCCCTTACATTCACCTCATTTACTCAGGGACCAAAAGTTGATATTATCTTCAGATTCGGGCCATTTTGCCATTTTTGAATATTGACATTGTTTGGCGCTGACCATTTTCACAATAAAAAAATACTGTTACAACTGCGTTGTGTTTGTGAAATTCACTTTATTTCAATTTGTCACCAGTCAATGAGTGCATGCATCTGGAGAGTCGGGAACGGACATGCTTAAACTGCTTGTGCCATGGGCATCCCGGTTCACAATCATCATCAGTTTATTGTATTCACATACATATAGGTTACATTCTGTTAAGGCTCAGGTGAGTTCTGGATGTACATGTACAGTGTATACTAAGTTAACAAGATTTGTTTTCGGATCAAAATAGCTCTTTGGCTAAAATTATTAAAAAATATTAACAACTATATTATAAGTGTCAATCATAAGAAACATTTGTTCAAAATTTCAAAGTTCTCCATATTTGATGGTATACATAGATTTCTTGTATTTTCATACAATGGAAGGGGCGGTCGGGTAGCCTAGTGGTTAAAGCGTTCGCTCGTCACGCCGAAGACCCGGGTTCGATTTCCGACATGGGTACAATGTGTGTAGCCTATTTCTGGTGTCCCCCGCTGTGATATTGCTGGAATATTGCTAAAAGCGACGTAAAACCATACTCACTCACTCACTCATACAATGGACGATTTAGGATAGCGTGAAACTCATATTCATTCACATAGGAATTGATCCCCAACGGCAGACTAAACTGGGAACCGCCTCCGTGGTCTAGTGGTAGAGCGTCCGCCCGGAGAGCGGAAGGTCCGCGGTTCGATCGCCGGCCGCGTCATACCAAAAGACGTTAAAAGATGGTACTTGTTACCCTGTCTGGCGCTCGGCATTAAGGGGGTAAAACAAGGACTGGTCGGCTCGGAGTCAGTATACTGTGTCTGAGTGGGGTATTCATGTTACACTGCGGCATGGTATCTCAGTGAGCTAGCACTATAAACCAGTCCGGACTAGTACAAGCAGCCACAGCACGTCGCTGTGTATAATTGCAATAATCTTGGACGTGACGTTAAACGCAATTTCACCTCGCCTTACTAAACTCGGAATCGCGTTTATTTTTCCCGGCAGCTTGGTGCCAGCATCATGCGATGGTTTGGCAACACTCGATATTAATAGGTCGTGATATAGCTGGCGTGCTGTTTCCTGCGGCACAAAATAGCATCTATTTATTCTTAGCTTTACTTTTGAGAAAATAATATTCACAATTATTATCTTTATTTCGTAAATTCATTAACTACATTTCAGATAGCCTAATTCATTTCTTCATCTTTTAGCATATGCCTCTCAATGGGTCCGGTACTAGTATATGCCCACTACATAAAAAAGTTGTAGATTCCGTTTGAAAATAGCCTTTCTGCCAGAACCACACATTTGAGAGCTTACCGACCGACCAGATTTCGACTCAGATCCTAGGTAGAGGAGTTCCAGCTGGCATACCTTTAACGGAACAACGTTGGTTGGTTGGTTGTTTAACGCCGCACTCGGCAATATTCCAGCTACATGACGGCGGTCTGTAAATAATCGAGTCTGGACCAGAAAATCCAGTGATTGATATCATGAGCATCGATCCACGCAACTAGGATCGATGACATACATCAACAAAGTCAGCGAGCCTGACTACCCGATCCCGTTAGTCGACTCTTACGACAAGCGTAGTCGCCCTTTACAGCAAACATGGGTTGCTGAAGACCTATTCTACCCCGGATCTTCACGGGTCGAACGGAATAACGACACATATTCCTACCCGTATAACGCGACTTGCCGATTGCATTGCCGCATGTCTCATTGTCAGAACCGCATTTTCGAGGGTTTTCTAACGGACTATAGATATAGGTGCAATATACAGCTTGTCAGACAGTATCTGTGATATGCCATGTGATATGAACGACCCGCTACAATATAGGATTTAATCTACCAACTTCGACAAAATGGTAAGTGTGCAGTGTACAGGGCAGGTCTTCAAATCTGAAGCATAGTGCCATAATAATAGTTTACTTTTCCTGTTTGACTCTGTTCTCGCATTCTTTACGATACACTTCAACCCTGTCCAGATGTGTGCAATTTCATGTGATTAATCAAACTGCTGGGTCGTCTGTTATTTGAATGCACTTCATATGATACAACACAAAGCAAATACGTAAATTCTTGAAAGGTTTATATGAATATCATCACACAGGCAGCTAAATCATTTATTATAAAATTGTGTGTCGACACACGGGACCTAACAGACAGTGAGTGAGTGAGGTTTGTTTAACGCCGCTTTTAACAGTATTTCAGTTATAGCACGGCGTGTCAGCTTAATGTGGGAGGAAAGCCCGAAGTGATGCAGGTCTTGGACGTTTACCACTTCGATGAAACCCACGAGCACGGGTATGGTGCTGACAAACCTAGGAACATAATCGGGGCGAACCGGGATTCGAACCCACAATCATAGGTTTCTGGCGTGCCCAAGGGACGCAACTCTGCACAGCGAATCGCGGCGCCTTAGACGACTGGGCCACCCATGCCCCCTAACAGATAGTGAAAAGGGTATGTCAATGTTTAGGAAACTACTTGGAATCACTGAGGACAATTCATGTGGTGGTCAGACTCGCTCAGACTCGCTGACCTGGTTGAAGCATGTCATCGTATCCCACTTGCGTATATCGATGCTCATGATACCAATCACTGGATTGTGTAGTCCAGATTCGATTATTTACAGACCGCCGTCATATAGCTGGAATATTGCCGAGTGCGGCGTTTAAAAGTAAACAAACAAAATCTTCTCCGGTATTCTGAAGGACATATAGTCGCCCAGGCTCTATTGGGGATATGCGTTGTTCAGAATGCATGAATTGGGGCGTCTCGTTGCACAAACACTGCGAGTCCCAGCAAATAGTCGTCCTCACACTGCGGTCACGTGATGCAGTCTGGAGGCCTAGATCCACCCCAACACTGAACGACCTCCCCGCGTCAACAGCTGGGGGCTGAAGCGAGTCGAGGCGTAACAGAGGAAGCTAGTCGTGAAAGAACTTGGCGTTATTGTAAAACCAATCCAGGTATGTGGAATTAACTTCCATCACTTGAGTTCCGAATACCCGACATGTTCATAGAAATGTACATCACGTAGGCTGTCGCACAGTCCATGAACGCTTATTACCTTATGACAGCACTCGACGAATTAAGTCTAGATTTCCCACAGGTACTATGAAACTACCTCTTTTCTGGGCCAACTTTTCAGTTGAAATGTAGTTGCTTGTCTCTATCAAAATTATATATTTTCAGAGACTAAAAGTTAGTCAACGCACCAATGCTGACAACAGAATGGGAACATCAGCCAATACGACTCGACGTTGTATGGTGCGCATCGTGCTGTAACACGGTTCACGTCCAAATGCGCTCATGGTTATTGTAAATTTGTCAAAACGGCCTTTTAGTGACTGAAACTCAAATTGCGGCCATGTTTTATTTCTTTAGCTGCTTGTATGATACAACCCCATGGAGAAAATAGGCCAGAACATGGCCCGCAGTAAAACTACTTGCCTTGTATGTTTGTTTATTTTATTGCTTGTTAACGCCGCACTCAGCAATATTCCAGCTATATGACGGCGGTCTGTAAATAATCGAGTCTGGACCAGACAATCCAGTGATTAATATCATGAGCATCGATCCACGCAATTGGGATGACGATGACATGCATTAACCAAGCATGCGAGTCTGACCACCCAATCCTGTTAGTCGACTCGAACAACAAGCATAGTCGCCTTTTACGACAAGCATGGGTTGCTGAAGATCAATTCTAAACCAGACCAAAAACACTTAAAGGGGCATTCACACGGTACAACAGGTTGCACCTTGTGAATGCCCCTTTACATGTGCAACGTTACTCCATACGCATCAGTACTACAGTGTGTGTCGGAGTGATGTTGATGTCAGTGTACACAGACGGCGTGAGTCGTTTACTCATGCAGGCGACGAGAGCCTATAAGCTCCAGCTCGGTGTTGATTATTAACAGACTGTACCGATACTGCTAGAATACTGCGGACTGCGATAAACAACAACATTCATTCACTCGCTGTCTTAATATCGCCAGTACTTTGTGTTTCCTGTAGCGAATAGTTTCATGTAGGATTTTCGTAAGTAGCCTACAAAAAATAAACTTTAAATTTAAGTTACGAATAGTGTAATAATGAATTGGAGATTATTATGATGCCTTTGCAGTGTCCTGTCTGTGTTATCAAGGATGAGTGGAAGCAGTGGCTATACCGTTCTGTCGGGGATATTGTCCGCCACGTTTGTGGCGGCAGGAGCTATTAAACTCTCCCCTGTCCCTGCGAGTCTACACAACGGAATGGTAAATAGAAAGCTGATTACATTGGTCTGCGTTGGTTGCCACTTAGTGATCATATCATAAAAGGACATGACCCAATTAGGCCGGGCTCCGCTATCATGCATGATAGCGGAGCTTCAAATTAAGACAAGAGATATTATTGGATGAAATGGTCGCGGATGTGGAGGTACTGGTGGACTACAGCAATGAGCTTAACCCCTGTTAAGCAACCCAAACTGCAGCAACCGCTGCCCTACAACAACCGTTGCCAAGCAACCCATGTTGCTTACCAATGCAGCATCCGAAGCCCTGCAACTACCATTGCCAAGCAACCCATGTTACTGGCCAGGCAAGTACCATTGCCAAATAATGAGCGAGAGCAACAATTGTTGCCAAGCTGACCATCCGCTGTAAAGAGGATACTAAGCCATCTGCTGTCAGGCAGAATGGATAAATTGATACCTGCTGTAAAGCGGGCAACCCTATCCTATATAGTTTATAATTTGGGATGTATCCCAAGACGCCAAATGAAACTTGTAATGCAGTCCACCAGCACCCCGCCGCAAGCACCAAGGTGCTTGTAATTGCGAAATTGCCAAGCCTGACATAAAGACATTTATCTCTGATCACTAAATGCTTTTATCATACCCCGCTCGAAGTGAAAGGGGGATATAAGAATGGGTACTGTTCCTCCTTCCGTCCGTCCGTCCGTCCGTCACGTTTCGTTTCCGGAGCTGAACTATATAAACTATGAGAGATATCGTTACCAAACTTGGCACATAGATAGGTCCAGGTGTGAACTGGTGCCTTTTGAGAGTTTGGGTTTTTTTAACATTTATTTTTCGATTTTCCATGTCAACGACTTTGACTTAGACTGAAATATGGCGGTATTGGCGTGGGATATGAGTATTTCGTGCTTGCTTATCTTCAAAGATGCAGTTCATAAGTCGAAAGAGAACTGATGAAACGATGGAATATGGATACAGAAATTGTGGCTGGTGAGTCTACATTCGACCGATGCAGTCGGGAGTAGATACCTGTAGCGTGTAGATTCAATTCCGTCACTAAATCAGGATTGAGATCATTCGTGACCACTGGCTTTGTAATGTAGTGGGTAGAGTCTTCGACCAGCCTGGAGAGCGGAGGGTCGGTGGTTTGAACTCCTGGCCGCGTCATACCAAAAGAAGTTTAAAGGTGATACTTGTTGTTACCCTGCCTGGCGCTCTTAATTAAGAGAATAAAACAAGGACTGGTCGGCTCGGAGTGAAATGTGTCTGAGTGGGGTATCCATGTTAAACTGCGGCATGGTATTTCAGTGGACTAGGACAGGTACAAGCACCCGCACACCCATACACACACACACACACACACACACACACACACACACACACACACACACATACGTGCGCGCATGCTCGTCACTATATAAGTGAAACAATCTCGGACGCGACGTCAAACCCCATTTCACCACCCAATAGAGGCCGATCGTGTCATTCCGGGACAAGCCTCCATGCTGCTGAGGAAAAGTGGCGAATGGTTAAGAAAGGGTTGAACTCAATAAAATATTCATTGTTAAGGAAGTTTATCTGATTGTGTTCCAATAATTTCTCAAACCTTTCGACTCTTGAAGCTGTCTGTAACGAAACCACCAGGATCTCCCCTGTCCCCTAAGTATGAAATGGTCGGTCCCTTGGTAGATCGACCCACAAATCGTTGATCTGCAACCTTACAGAATTGTGACCTAGAAAAAGAATAATACCATATTAGCATAGCATTAGTATGTACTTAAGGCATGGATATGGGTGGGAATATTCCATCGTCGCCCTACTCTAAAACATCTGATATTCATTCTGTCAGTCACAAGATTGTCTGGTCTAAACACAATTATTTACAGACCGCCGTCATGACGCTGGAATCTAAAATTATATTGCTGAGTGCGGCGTTAATCAATAAACAAACAAACTTAAAACTCTGGGGTTTTCATTTTGATTGAAGTGAGCTACATACTGTAGCGATGGAGAGTATGGCACTGTATATAACATAGACCAGGATGTTAGGGAGTAATCGCCCTGCCTATATACCCATTTATGAATCACAAAACACACAAGAAACGGGGATTTGATGGGCCCGAGTAATTACCGTCTCTGATTTGTACAGCCTCATAAACTGCTGAACAGGTCCGTCGTTACAGATCCCGAAGATGCGTACGTAGATGAGAGGTGAGGTGAGGTGAAATTGGGTTTAACGTCGCGTCCAAGATTATTGCATTTATATAGCGACGTGCATGTACGTGTATGTGTTTGTGTGGCTGCTTGTTCTAGTCCGGACTGATGCCGATATATAGTGCTAGCTCACTGAGATACCATGCCGCAGTTTAACATGAATACACGCCCAGACACAGTATACTGACTCCGAGCCGACCATGCAGTCCTTGTTTTAGCCCCTTAATGCCGAGCGCCAGACAGGGTAGCAACAAGTACCATCTTTTAACGTCTTTTGGTATGACGCGGCTGGGGGTCGAAACCCGGACCTTCCGCTCTCCGGGCGGACGCTCTACCACTAGACCACGGAGGCGGTCACGTAAATGATAGTTACTGGCTCTAAACGCCTGAGTCAGTTGTCCGGCTAGGCGACGCCGGACTGTAGCAGAAATGGGTCGTCCTCCGACAGTTCTGAGAATCGGTTTGGGTAGGCAGTTTGTACTTCCCCGGATGTTCTTCAAGGCAGTCCAGAGATAGGTCCTTTGGTTCATGAACCTTGAAATGAGCTCCTTTAGACACTGGCCTTGGTCATTTGCGGGATTTTCTATTTTGCAGGACATCCATAAGTTATGATAGCTTGTGGTATAAACTATATCTTATGGATAAGTGACTTCTTGACAACAATTGGTGCGATGTTTGTACAGTTATCTTGTTTGACAACGGTATAAGAAACAACATTGTTATCAGAAGTCGTTTACTCAGTCCGCGTGGGAGGTTCGCGTAAATAAACCCTGCTTTGTAGGTGGATAATTTCATTTTAAGATATGTGAGCGGTTTTTCTGTTTCAATTGTAATTTTAACTGTTATTGTAATTACTTTTTCTTTTAAGATTGCCGAATTCAGAGAATACGCTACAAAGTTCCCGGGAAATGTCATTGGCTGCCCGATCAACCCACTGACGTACATGTATGCTGCTGGGTTGCTGGATTTCAGCCTCGGTATGGGCTTGCTGTTGGGATCACGAAAGGTCAAGGTCGTCTGTTCAATTGGCGTAATGGCGGACATGGCATTGTTCATACCGACAGAAATAAGCCTTGGAATGTACGGGAAAAGTCTGGTTCCCATAGCAACACTGATCATGTCCTTTTGCCTCTATAGACATTTGACAGACAAAATAAAAATAACATAAAAATATTTTGCGTCCTATATTTTCCCCTCTCTCCATGTTTATCCACTCTCTCCAAGGGGTTATCCCATGAAAGGCGATATGAAATGAGGGTAAACATTGCGTTCAAGATTGCATCACTTATATAGCTACGCGCGCGCGCGCGAAGCGTGTTTGTGTGTGTGTGTGTGTGTGTGTGTGTGTGTGTAGTCCGGACTAATTCCGGTTTTATAGTCTTAGCCCACTTCGAGTCAAAAAGTCCTTGCTTTAGCCGAGCTCCAGGCAGGGTAACATCAAGTACCACAACGTATTTTTGCAAGACCCGGCCGGGGATCGAACACTCGACCTCCGGCTCTCTATCCAATTCAGAGAACTGCTCCATAGAGTTGTAATATCAGAACACGGGAACACGCGTAACTAGTAAAAGTCTGCTATACTGAGATCGGGTTGACGTTGGGCTTACGTGTTGCATGTGCTATGATTGGACTGTTATGGGGGCGGTGGGGTCGCCTAGCCTTCACTCGCCACGCTTCCCCACATGGGTACAATGTGTAGAGCCCATTTCTGGTATCCCCGCCGTCATATTGCTGGAACATTGCTAGAAGCTTCGTAAATAGAGATTACTACACGAGTGTCTGTCAGATACCATTGATCTTACAACGAGTTGTTTCAAAACGTATCTAACGAGCGAAAATCGAGTTAGATACGCTTTGTAACAACGAGTTGTAAGATTAATGGTATCTGACAGGCACGAGTGCAGTAATCTGTTTCTTACACACCCTAAAATCGCACCTTTTTAGCATCGAACCGATGAATTTTGTCTATTCTCATGATTGCAGTAGCACATTAATGCATAACACCACTGTCATAAGTGACGTCATCCTATGTGCTGCTTACTGCTCATAAATAATGTGACCCTACACAAAAAGGTTTCCGTCCTATCTGTGGATTATCAAGGCGATGATGAAAATGCAAACTAGACAAAAACCAAGAACACGCTGGGTGCCAAGTTGAAAGTTTACACCTCAAAGAAATTACCAAATATGTACAACAATGTTTACTTCCGTATGACATCACTACCGATGACCGACTTTTACAAAATGGCGTGTTCACTGACAACAGTACGCGGGATTTCCAGAGGAGGTTTTTGTTGATTGAGGGATCGTTTTCACATAAATGTTTCACGTAAGTAATCAGAAACACTCTGACAATCTGCGTACTTTTATTTGTTTACCGTGTTTTCCAATGTAACAAAGAGAATTAGTCAGAAATGCAGATAACTACCGTCATCGTTGTGCGTGATTTAGCGTCAGTCATGGCGTCATACAGGACGGAATCTTTTACGGCTTCTGTTGAATTTACCACATCATTGTAATGTATATATGTGTAATTCCATAATAAGTGCAACGATACTCTTCCCATGAATATTCTCAAACGCGTGATCGAGCCAATGTATGCAACAATTAGACGAAAGTACCTCTTTTAATACTACACAGTGTAAAATCTGAATTTTACTTTGTTTACATTTCAGCAAGTACAATTTTCCGAGCACAGTTTTCTTTTCCATACCTAATTTATTTCGCATGATTTCATCTAGATAATTTGCATTGGTGACAAAGACCATTTATCCATTATTTCGAAAATGTATGAGGAATTCAGGGATGCATGAATAGCAGCTGAGTTTGAAATATACCTGATCGAATATAGGCGTCTCATAACCGGCATTTTGTAAACACAATCCAATATGGCGGAACGTACACTTCGGCGTTCGTGTATGCATATTTTCAAAAACATTCTAAACGATTCTAGGCTTATCAGCGACGTTTCAGAATTACCATTAGTGATTTGATACCCGTGATCGCTAATATGCTTTTTTTCTACTTTAATTAATAATTATTCGAGTAAATATCCGATATTTAGATTTCTAAACACAAAGTAAATATTTATATAACGCAGTGAATTGTGATTTGGCGAGATTTACAATGTACCTAACTTTCAGTCACTTTCAGTAATTTTGAATTGCCTAAAATGACAATAAATGATAAACAGAAGGGGGAATTCAAAACTGTGAAGTGTCTGCGTGATGTGGATTCTATTTTGAATTTCATTCGATTTCGAAGTGAGGGTTGAAGAGAAGGGGGTTTACACTCTGAAAAAACCGATAATGTTGACATAACAACAGATAATGTAACTGATAATAATAACAAACAAACTCGCCGACGAGGACGAGTTTGTTTATTTTTATTATTAATTACACGGTCCTGTTGTTCAATACAGACGTAGGTGAACATTCGACTGAAGCACGAGCAACTTATGAATGACTTACACTCAGGAAAGTAGTCCGTCATCATCACACTCCGTCGCAGTGCACTCTCCTACCCAGAGTTCCATGCGGCCGGTAGCCAGCTAGCATAGTACCTCTGCCACAGGCCAGCGCCATGTGACGATTCGTCACATCTTTCACAGCCCATTCAAGATATTGCATATGCTTTTCATCCGTTTCATGTTTGACAAGTCTACACATTTTCATAAACAAATGTCAAAGAATGGTTAACTTTCATTGAGAAAGTATGCAAATACTTAAAAATCTACTTGTTTTTGCGTAGTTATCCTATGTTTGCATTGGTTGTACGGCTCCACGTGCTGTCATCGAAGCCCAACGGAGAGCTAGCGACACGGTCACTTTGATGCATAAATATATATTGTCATACAACTCACTGTCGCAGTTGTAGTAGCATATCTATATAGTTATGCAAAACAATATGTAAAGCGCCCCCAAATACTTGCATTAGTCGGTTCTATAATTATTTCTGAAAAAGCGCGTTTGTTTACAAACAAGAGAAATGTCCGGTCACGTGATATGCAAATTAGCCTGTGGCAGTGGTGTTATGCTGAGTCACCACTGCGACGGAGTGTGGTCGCAGTGGTGACTCAGCATCACACTCCGTCGCAGTGGTGACTCAGCATAACACCACTGCCACAGGCTAATTTGCATATCACGTGACCGGACATTTCTCTTGTTTGTAAACAAACGCGCTTTTTCAGAAATCAGTATAGAACGGACTAATGCAAGTATTTGGGGGCGCTTTACATATTGTTTTGCATAACTATATAGATATGCTACTACAACTGCGACAGTGAGTTGCATGACAATATACATTTATGCATCAAAGTGACCGTGTCGCTAGCTCTCCGTTGGGCTTCGATGACAGCACGTGGAGCCGTACAACCAATGTAAACATAGGATAACTACGCAAAAACAAGTAGATTTTTACGTATTTGCATACTTTCTCAATGAAAGTTAACCATTCTTTGATATTTGTTTATGAAAATGTGTAGACTTGTCAAACATGAAACGGATGAAAAGCATAAAAATTATGCAATATCTTGAATGGACTGTGAAAGATGTGACGAATCGTCACATGGCGCTGGCCTGTGGCAGAGGTACTATGCTAGCTGGCTGCCGGCCGCATGGAACTCTGGGTAGGAGTGTGCGTCATCATCTGACCCCAGGTCATCACCATGGAGTAGCAAATGACGGGCCTGGAATTCGATCTCACACATATGTTTGATACCAGTTAGCTCAAATGGGTTTCTCACCCACGGGTGTGTAAGAAAAACAAACTCACTCATCCGACTGTTATCAGTGAGTAAATACTGTTCAACCAGTGACTGGTAGCAAGAGCAGCCATCAACGCTGTGGATGCGGAAGAGATACAATCAACCAAGTCACAATCTGTTTGTCGCCTCTAGTAGCAAGCATGGGGTAGCGGTTACCTTATTCCCTCTCTCATTCATCGTCTTGTGTCAGAAATTGGTATGTGGCTTTAAAATTGTTTTTGATGTGTCGCCAATCAGTTTGGCCCTCCTTTCCCACGCCTTAGAGTTCGTTCGTTCGTTCGTTTGTTGTTTTACGCCGCACTCAGCATTATTCCAGATATATCATGGCGGTCTGTAAATAATCGAGTCTGGACCAGACAATCCAGTGATTGACATCATGAGCATCGATCCACGCTATTGGGATAAGATGACATACATCAACCAAGTCAGCGAGCCTGACCACCCGATCCCGTTAGTCGCCTCTTACGACCAGCATAGTCGCCTTTTACGGCAAACATGGGTTGCTGAAGACCTATTCTACCCCGGATCGTTAGAGCGAGCGAGTGAGTGAGTGAGTATGGTTTTACGCCGCTTTTATCAATATTCAAGCAATATAACGGCGGGGGTCACCGGAAAATGGGCTTCACACATCGTTTACAAGTAGAGAATCGAACCTGGGTCTTCGGCGTAACGAGCCAACGCTTTAACCACTAGGCTACCCCACCGCCCCTCCTACCGTTAGAAAAGTGGGCCAGGGTGATGTCGGATCTTTAGCCGCTTGTAGTGAGAGCAGACACCTTAGGGATTCCAGGTTTGTTCGTTTGTTGTTTAACGCACTCAGCCATATTCCAGCTTTATGACGGCGATCTGGATATAATCGGGTGCTAACGGTGAGACAGGACACGCTCACCTATTCGCGAACACCTGGTGTCATCACTATTTGATTTCTCATCAATATGGAAAGGGTTTTGACGCTTTTATTCACAGTGACAAACAACCCTGGTTCGTCTTGTCAAGACTCCATTATATACTCTTCAAAAAAGGTAGAGGATCATGAAATATCTGAAATAACTCCAGCAGCACAACTTCCTTAGCAAGCCATGGCCAGCGATGAGCCAAGACCTTTCCCCACTGAACAAGTCTGGGACAGGGAGACGTGAGCGTCAACGTCATAAGCCGCCGACCACGTTGGCTGAACTTGGCCAGGAACTTTGACTTCCTCAATTCGCCATTGGGAGACTCATACCCAGTCAAAGCCCTTCACCCTCAACCCCCACCCTCACCCGTTGATATGAATAAACAAGGAAGTCTGGTTTCAGATCTCTGTGTTTTATTCTCCTTGATCTGATCAACAATTGTGGTTTGATAAAGCCTACAAAATACTCATTCCAGAGTACCACATGCTGGGCACAGGTTATGCAGGTCGGGC